AGTATAAACTCAGGTTTCTCTGAGTTTATTTGCGCGTTTTTTTAGAGATTCGGAATGTGATCTGTCGCGTTCGATATGACTTTGAGTATGGACTCCGAGTGCACTCTTTTAACTCTGTGTTAGAAGATCAAGATTAGTCGGCAAGTAAAATAATGAAATGTCAATTATGTCAATGAACGTCACATAATATTGTTCTGTGGGTTTGTGCTAGGTAATATTTGTATTTTAAAATTATTTAACCCATATAGATTATTATAAGTAAATTCTGAAAGTTTATTTTGTGTTATTCTATTGTTATGCATAATAACTAACTGACCGTTGACTGACATACTGGATTGAGGTTATGATTTTAACTTTGAGTGACAGAGCGCGTTCGAGATGTTACTACATTCGCTCTCTGACTTAAAAGGACTCTGCTTATGCCCTAAGAAGGGTAATACTACCTATGACCTTGGGAAGCGATCATAGTTTTGTGTTTAATTATTGGGGGACATTAATAAACATTAGTAGAGGGTACCGTTGAAAAGTTATAAAAATAATGCATTTATGTAATATTCTGGATAGCTATGCACCTGAAATAGGAATCTGCAAATGAATAATATTGTTAATGCAGTATTGCTCTAATATAGAGAGTTTTAAATATTTTTTTAATAAGAACTTATAGAATCTCAGCTAAACTAAGGACTGTTGTGTAGGGAAGTAATAAGTATTTGAAAAATTAGATGCAATGAAAAAATATAGACTAAACTAAAAAAATATAATCACTGAATTTTAAACGTTTTTGATCATAGATATTTTTTTTGATGTAATCATAAATATTAATTTAACCTTCACCTGGCCTCGTGGGATAAGTACATACCCCACGATCTTTCTCGTCGATTTTCGATATCTAAATTTTCGAAATAGAAACTCGCAACGATATCTATCGGTACTCAAGGGGTATACTTTTATACCTAGGCCAGTGGGATAGCGCTCTCAAAAGAAATACCTTTTTTAAAGACCCATGAAAATAATTATTATTCTTTTATAGTGATGTAACAGAAGAAGACACAGCTAAAATTTCAGTCCGTTTTATCGAAAAACAAAAAGTTATGATTTTTTTTGTAAAAAAACGCATTTTTTTCCAGTTTTCCGGATTTTTTAAAACGCGATCTTTATTTTTTTCAACTTGGGCTATTCTACAATTTGAAGTAGTATCTAAAGAAAATCTCTAAATTTTTTTTGAGACAAAATAATCAATATTTAGATTTTTATCACTGGGGTTCGTACGTACCCCACATGTCCAGGTATGTTACTCAGGATGAGCATGCCAGGTAAAGGTTAAATAAAATACAAACTTATGCATAACATTAGCACTTATATAACTTAAAATCCCAAAAGATATTATTTAACCTCTTATTAATAAGATTATTGATTGCAGAAATTTAGCAAATTTAATTTCTCGAATCTTCTACCAGCTGCCATAAAACATAAAGAAAATTAGATAGTAATTATCGTAATTAATGTCCAATAAAAACTTGATAATTATTAAGAAACTACAAAAATAATAGGAATATTATTGAAAACTAAATATTATCTTAACTGATTAAGACTGAAACAGCTTCTTTATAGATATAAATTAGTTAAATTTGTATCCTGCAAATGTTATAAATAAAATAAATCATAATTTTTTATTGTTATATCTACTAAATTATTTAAATCAAATCACAAAACGAAAAGTGCTGACAGTAGTAAAGTCACTAGTACTGAAAGGACTGAAGATTTCATTTGTTCAAGAAGCCAAATACCTGGAAGTCATCTTTGACCATAGCTGGAATTAACACTTGCAAAAAGTCGCCCAAAATAATTCCTTCAACTTATGTCGAAGGTTGTGTGGAAAAAATTGTCTACTACAATCAAAAATGTCCCTATGGCTAGATACCAGAGTCATAAGGCCGATGATGACCTACGGGTCGGTGGTATGGTCTTCAAAGATTTGGCAAGCTGGAGACATTCGACAGCTCAATGGTATTCAAAGGCAAGCATGCTCTATGAGAACGAGTCCAACAGCAACTAAAGAAACCATGGCTAAACTTAATACCACTGCACATATTCATTCAAGAAGAAGCCAGGTCTGTCACATACACGCTCAAGCAGTTTGCATGGACGTGACTATAGCGAGCTATACATATAGAGTTGGAGAACGGCCAAATAATGGGAATGCCTATAGATGAAATGTTCCCAAAACATATCAATATAAAGTAAGTATACCAGACAGAGAGGACCTCCTATTTATGCAGAATTCATCTGGTATATAGACGGCTCCGAAACCCATGAAGGTCCAGCAGAAGGTTTATATAGTACCAAACCAAAGACAAGAATCTCAGACAGTCAAGCGACGTTAAAAGCACTTCATTGTATACAGGTATACTCAAAGCTTGTGTGGAAATGTTTGGAAGCCCTAACAGAGCTCAGTAGTCAAAACAATCTAACCACAGAGGACATGAAGGCAACAAAGTGGCTGACTTACTAGCCCGAGAAGGAATCTCTTAAGCTCTTATCGGCCTAGAACCCTTCTGTGATGTCATAAAGACAGCTAAACATGCATAAAGCCGTGGATGTTTAAAAAATGTCAGAAATGGTGGAAAAATTCACCAGGACCGAGCATCTACTAAGTCTTAATAAAAAAATACTAGTAGGTATATTTACAAGGCATTGTAGGCTTAACAAACATATATTCAATATCGGTCTGACAAAAGAGACCTTATACCCATACTGTCAGGAAGAGGAGAAAACTGCAGAATATGTATTTGACTACTGCGAAAGTCTATCCACAATAGATCTAAAAAGATCATTTTTACCTAAACTATTTTTTTATTTACTCAATTTTGAAATAAGAGCGGGTTTGAGTAGTTACGATTGAACCAAGATCAGAGGCAAGGTCAGAGATAATTGATGTAATTATTAATTACCCTAAATACCCACCCCCATCCTTCGCGCAATTAGCAAGTACCTCCCAATTACTCTGTACATCATGTAGTGAGTGTAATTACATAGTAAGTATTTTTCAATTACCCTATAAACGATGTGTAATGAGTAATTATGAGGTACTTGCTAATTGCGCGAAGGGTGGGGTGTAAGGGTACTTAGGTATTACTAATTACATCAATTGCCTCTGACCTTGGTCCAGAACTGGCTAATCATAACTACTTGTTTGTCTAAACTATTTTGTTACAAGCTTCCTCAATTTTGAAATTTGCGCATGTTATCAAAAATGTCATTTAAAAATTCACCGATTTCCAATGGTATTTAGGAGGCTGTGACGATGATCTTATGTATACGTCAAAATTTGACTGGTTACTAATTGCAAACAGTTTGAACATTTGTTAAATAAATGATTTGTATTGTATTGAAGGTATTAGTTGTATTTATCTTTTGCCTATCCGCTTTTAATATTTTAAGTAATTCTTATTTTTAAAATGTTTGTTATTAATTATTTCAAACATGGGAAAAGAAGAAAAATGGTGTATTTAAAAAAATTTGATTATAATTAAAAACAAAGTTGATCTTTAACGATATTGAAATGACCTTGAAGATCACGAGCAAAAGAAAATCAAAGAACGGCATTTTATAGACTTTACGAATTTAAGATATTTATAATTGAAACTTGTCTGCATAAATAGTAAGAACCTATAAACTACATACATGAGTTAGAAAAATCTATTTGTGAGTCGGAATAATTATTTTTTTAAGTTATGTCAGAATTTTCTGACTTCCGTAATAAGGCGCCACCACAAAAAAAAACAATAAAATAAAACGATCTTCTATAAAGCTAGACCACTCTAGCATATGTATTTACATACAGTGAGTATCATAAGTCTTACCCCACCCCTAAACTAACTCGTTACTGGAGTCTTGTTAGGAAAATCGCCGAGACAAGTCGATTTCCGATTTCTACAATGTACATTTTTGTATAAATAGTTTACCCTTAATTTCATCCCTTACTGGAGGGGAGCAACCCTTTCGAAAAATTTAAATGACATGGGGTGGTGAATGATAGCTCATTTCACAGGGGGTTTTATTCTCTATTTAACCGTGGAAAAATTTTTGAAATTTGCTGCATTACGTGTTAATTTATTAATGTTTAAAAATAATAAAACATCACAAATAGGAAAGCAACTTAACTAACAGTGACCTTATCTAATGCAAAAAGTCTAACTTCACGTCTGAACCAAAACCGATATCATGCAGGGCCGAATTTTAATTCTAAGGATGAGTGCGCTACGTTAATTTCCGTTATTCTGAAACAATAATTAGTCGAGAATTAATAAAGCAAATTTTAAAATTGTTTGCACGGTTGAATAAAGAATAAAACCCCCTTTCAAATGAGGTATCACTCACCACCCCATGTCATTTAAATTTTTTGAAAGGGGGTTGCTCCCCTCCAGTAAGGGATGAAATTAAGGGTAAACTATTCATACAAAAATGTACACAGTAGAAATCAAAAATCGACGTGTCTCGGCGATTTTCCTAACAAGACTCCAGTAACGATTTAGATAGGGGGGGTAAGACTTATGATGCTCACTGTATAATAATAATAGGTAATCTAAAATCTTAATAAAACATACAAAAATTTCAAATTTGCTTCTATATTTCTTGTTTTCTTACATTTTTTTTATGACAAATAATTAAATCCCTATTTACTAATCCACATTACGCTACTAAATCGTGGACCCCGGAAGAATCCCCCCTTTTCTATTATTTCAGCGAAGCCGGAAAGAAACCAGGTAACTCTGCCACCTGTTATGATATTTTGTACACTTTGCTTCTCTTGATGGTAGAAATCTGTTTTATTAAAGCTTGTTTCGAATTAAAGTCATTAGATGGCTTTTCCTAACAACCATTATAGATTACTCATTAAAAGACAAGAATACAAAAATAATTACTAATGATTAATTTAGTTTTATCTCTTTAGGTAGGTATTGGGCTTTTTAAATTTAAATCATAAATAACTTGAAAAGCTCTACTTATTAATAACTAAGAAATTTGGGATGCATAAACAATGGTTAGAAAATTGGAAAAAGAAAAATCCTTAAAATTACTCAAAATAGTTGATTTCTTCAGAAATTAGAAAATTATAGATTTAATTTTCGTTTTTTTAAGCCATAATCAAGGATGGATTATGAACTACACGTTTATAAAATGATATGAGTAGATTTTGGATTTTAAATTCGAATAGGTAGGTACCTATGCAGAGCTGGGCAAACTACTTGAAAAAAGTAGTTAACTATCAACTACTAACTACTTACATTAAAAAGTAGTTGAACTACTTAGTAATTAATTACTCCATAAAAAAAGTAGTTAAACTACCAACTACTGAGTAGTTAAATAACGTTTTTTTCAACTACTTTTTCAACTACTTTTTAAAATATCACTTCTAAATGAAGAAAAATTATCATTGTGCCACGAATCATGCCAGACCCTAAATAATAAGTACTAATTTAAGTGTTTTAAGAAGCAAAAACTCAACATTTTATTCATTGTTGTAAAAACACTATTACACTAATGATAAGATTAACAAAAGAATAAAGTAAACTAAAATAAAATGGACAAAATATTAAAGTATTAAGAAAATCTCTTTTTGTTAGCTTTCATTAACACCAACTGTTCAAATAACTTATCATTTAAAGCATGCCGGCGGGGAGCGTTTATATACGTTGCGAACGAAAACAGTCTTTCAACTGCGGCTGAAGATGGCAAACAAGTATTGTATTTAATAAAAAGTTCCTTTAAAAGAGTGTATTCTTCAAATATATCAATGGTGTTTCTACCGTCGTCCAGGTACTTCAACAATTCAAGTTCAAACTTAGGTTTAACTAGGTTATCAGTCTTCTTGGTGGTAGTAGCACTCAAGGGAACTCTTGTTTGAAGATATTTCACACACATTTTTAGGATTTTCCCCGAAGTCAAAAAAATTATCTTCGGCTGAACTTACCACCGTACTAGTATTGGCTATATTCTCTGGTAAATCACTAAATAATTGTGTTCCCTCGTTAACGATCATCTCGATGATGTATTTTTTCGTTGCATCAATGTTATCTTTATCAACAATAATTTTAATCCAACGTAGTTTTACACTTGGTATTAATACAGCTGCTATTACTGCCAATTTTGAGTTTTCGTTAACAGAGAAAAGATCAGCAAATCTTGTTTGCAATTTCTCAATTAGCGTCTTTTTCAAAATTGATACAGGGGAATTTGTTCCATCAGATTCTAATTTTTCTAATTTCACTTTTAGAGAGAGTATACTAGGTAACAAATATCCATAATAAGTATGTTCCTCCCCTTGCAAGAAATCTATAGTATCTGCCAGGGGTTTAAGAATTCTGCAATAACCTTCTAAATATTGTAGTTCAGTATCTTTAAAACAATCTTTTATATCTAATTTATCAAATAGTTCTTTGAGTTTATTTGTTTCTTTTAGTATTTGGCTTATACCATCATAAAAAGAATTCCATCTAGTAATGCACGGATAACTAAGTGTATGTCCCAACACTGACTGAATAATTTCTGCACTTTTAGGTTTGCCTGCCTTTTTCCATAACAGCGTACATTTATGTAGAACTCTCTCATGTCGAGTACGAAAAGCAGTATTTGAATCTATCACGTTCTTTATATCAGTAGTAGCCAACAAATGCAAAGTATGAGTTGCACATCGTACGTGTTTTGGAAGGCAAAATTGTTGTGTGTCAAAAGACAAAAAGGAGATATCAGGCTTTTGCATAACTTCCTCTTCCTCTTCAGATTCTTCGGAATCTAACGAAAAAATGTCTTTTTCGAGGTATTCTTCTCGTTCTTCTGCCATAATTTCTTGAATGTTGCCAGTTGAACTAAATTCTTTAAAGGATTTTACAAAATTACTTCCATTATCAGTTACGGTGGCCACTATTTTTTCATTTTTTAATTCGTATTGCAAATGGATATCTTCTAATATTTTTGCTATCCTATCAAATGAGTGCGTCCCATAAAATCGACGACAGGCTAGAGCAGCAGATTTTCTCTTAAGATCCTTATCAAACCAATGACCAGTAACACCAAAAAAATACGTCTTTTTGCTGACCAAATATCAGCAGTTGTGCACACATACTTTGAATTTTGAATATTTTTTTTCACATTATCAGTTACTATACGACTCTGTTCATCAACTCTTCTACTCATAATAGAGACATTAAAATCAGAAAATAGTTCTCTAAAACTCTCATGTTCAATAATTGAGAGAGGTATCATGGTCTGTACAAAAAAGTTGACAAATTTTCCATTAAACCGTTCTTCATTGATCCTTTTTTTGTTTTTCATCAATGCAGGTAACAATTTTTCGTTTCCTGTTCTAAAGGCTGGCATCATGGGATTCATGGATGTCATTTTACCTGCAGTTTCTTTAATTTTATTTTGACAGGCACGTTTGTGGCTTTTATATTTTTCAATAGAAGACTCACCATGTTTACATCGTAAGTGTTTAAGAAAATTTGATGTAGTCGTTACAGGGCCTTTAATAAATATCTCCTGGGGAACACACAATGCACATTTAGCTTTTATACAATTTTGTGTAGTAGTTATAACATGAAAAAATGTGCCATCAAATAATGCCGAATTGCTGAACTTGTTTCTGGTATCTTGATCTCCACCTTCACTTATTGTGCTCACACTGCTCACCGTAGATGTTGAAGCTTGAGATAAGTTTGTCATGTCGGTGTCACTATAATAAGACACTTTTAATTGTTTTTTTTTGTTGGTGTTTAAACCAAAATAGTCTTTGATTGTTTGTTTTCTTTTCCCATATGTTGATAAATCAAAATCGGGATCAGCAGTGTTGTCGTCACTGTCGTCAGAATACATATTTTCATCAGAACGATCTCTTTCTTCAGAATCCTAAAAAATAATGTAATACAATTTCTTATCAATATTAGACAGGTTGTTTTATGATTATCAGTAGTTAAATTCATTTTCTCGGACTTTACAATTTTTTTGTAAATTTTCTGATGATAAACGACTAGACTTAGAGTTCCAAATAATAAACATGAAGAATATTTTTTTATTTACAGATTTTTTAAGCACTCATCTCGCTCGCACTCGTTCTATAAACAGTATATTATATCAAAAAACTCTTTTTTTGTCCACCTGTGCAATAAACAACACGTTTATAATTAATCAAATAATACTGACAAAGAAAGTGTTGCAACTTGACTTCACTTCAAAAAGAAAGTGCAACACCCTGTATAATAATAAATCAATGCCGATTTTAGGGTATTCATTTACCTATCAAACAATAAAAAAATCGTTAAAATTAATGGCATTAATCGTTATTGTGCCATTAAAAATACAAAAAAATTATTGACAAATAAATAACAACCAATCGAGACATCGACACGCGTGAAATAACTACCCTTTATAAATAAGTTAATTTCATTTTGTTTAGTATAAATTCGGACAAAATTAACTTACCATTTTATGTTCTCAAAACCACGTCGAAAGAAAAACGCACCATTAATCGACTAGACGTAATCACGTAACAGAATTTACCCACGTGCCTTTTGTTTACGGATAAATCGAACAACACGTCTTTGTATCGCGAAGCACTGGAGATAACCAAACTAATGCAGCGCATCGCATATTCAAATAGACAAAAAAGCATCTCAATAGTTGACGCTTATTTTAAATTATGTAATTGAATAAGTAGTTAAACTACTTATTAAGTAGTTAACTACTTATTATAAAAGTAGTTAACTATTTCCCAAAGTAGTTAACTACTTCCGAAAGTAGTTAACTACTTTCGAAAGTAGTTAACTACTTTTAAAGTAGTTAAATATCTTTAAAGTAATTGAAAAAAGTAGTTAACTACCAACTACTCATGTGAAATACTTCCAACTACAAATAAACTACTCATTTTAAAAAGTAGTTAATTACAACTACCACCTACCTTCAAAGTAGTTTAACTACTAATTAAACTACTTAGTAGTTAACTACTGCCCAGCTCTGTACCTATGTACCACAAAAATCTTAATTTCTCCAAGTTGAAACCCCAGAAAGAAATAAAACCCCAAAAGTTTGTTTTCATTTTGATAAAAAAAAACATTAACTGAATCAATTTTTTTTTCTTTAAAATGGCATTTAAAATTCTTTAAAGTGGATTTGCATTGGTTACCTAATCAGACAAAATCCATTCATTGCTATTTGATAAAATAAAAGGTAATTAGAAAGTATAAAAATGTGTTTATATGTCTTCTGCTTTACAAAGTTTGTATTGCAACACCGGGAAACGTTCGTAGAATTTTCTATCCCCACGTTGTCTAAAAGTATTTTCTCGCTGTAATTCTGTTTTGTCATTCAGTAACCACAATAATTACTACTTATATTTGATAGATATGCAACAGGTATGTAGGTATGTACTCATTATTAATTGGTATTGGACCTGATTGTGTTTATTAATGTTTCATTATTGATCCATTCTATTCCTACAAAGCAGCAGTATATAATCTCGAGGAGTAAAATTGAGTTTTTAGGGTAACTACAAAATGGTTGACATAGTTATAAACCGAAACATAGTGAAAACATCAGTTTTTAAAACTTTCAAAAATAAAACAGATATTATTTACTAACTTTGTAGATGTTTTGAACATTTTATTTCCTAAGAGATGGACATTATACATTTTCTTTCCTAAGAGTTGGAAATTGTGTCTTCAAATTATAGGAGAATCAAGAAATTCTCAGTCTGATCAAAAACTGCTATCGTGAAGATTGAATATTTGACTGATTGGTCAAATCCAGTCAATAGTCAAGAATTAGGAGCTGAAAAGATAAAAAGACATATTAAAAAAAGAAGTATATAAGGGTGACTATAGATTATAGAAATTTTAAAAAGTTGGAAGAGGGAATATATGCAAAAATTATAAAAGGCATGGAAGTAACATATAGTTGTCAAAACAGGCAAAAAACAGTTGAAGAAAATTTATAAAATTCCTTTTTAAACTTATAATTAATCCTTTTTGTAAACTATTAGGAAATATGGATACAAAATAAAAAAAATTATGGATTTCATAGAACCTAAAGTACTTACTGTCATCTCAATGTGCAGAGCCACACGTACATGGCGTTTTAGTTCCAATGTACTTAACCATCAGTTTCACAAACTCTTGAAGAGGTTGTTCCATAGCCTTTACTGCTTCCAGAACATCATAATGATCTGGTTCCTTCTTGTTACTACTATAGTCGAGGATACCTTGAAACGGTGTAAAAAATACACAATTATTAGTAATATATTAACTAAAAATAATCATTTACTCAATTGATCTTCCTGTCATCAAAATGTATTCAAAATATTTCAAATAATGATTTAAAATTTGTTTTCCCACAAAATGGTGGGCATGTGTGGCTTGAGCCACATATATGTGGTTGGACCCCCTTGAGCAATTTCCTATTGTTTATTTTGATTTCTTCGCAAATTCCATGAGCTTTTCAACTTGGTTGAACTGTACTGATAAAGACCAATAGTCAGAAATATGTATCTACAATAATTTGTCTTATGGACTTTTCTCTTTTTAAATTACGGGATTTGCTAAACTTTCTTATTTTATGTTTTTTTTTATAATTTTATTGTTAATATCTTAAAATTTCTAACATTTTCTTCTAAAAGTACATTTATTAATAACTGCGCACGGCTTGAAATTAAATCCGAGCTAACACTTAAAAAGAAGAAGAATTAAGTACTCCGACACACTTCAGAAACATTTTTTGTATGTCACTCCTTATATTGACCACCGATATAACCAGATTTTGATCTATTTGAATATTATTTATTAATATGCTTGATCGATTTGAGACGAAAAATAATAAAAATGTTGCAAATATTATTATAGAATGTACCTTCTTCACATATTAGACTAAAACCAAAAATTATTAGACCAGAATGTCTAGCTGCTATAACTTCGGCTATGGTTGACATGCCCACGGCATCAATTCCACAAATTGCTAACATTTTCGTTTCTGCCACCTTAAAAGACAAAAATTTATAAACTATAGAATATTTTGAGTTAAGCACAATGTAATAGTATAATTGGGTAATATGTATTCTAAAAAGTATCATAAAATAGTTTCGTTTATTTAGCTAGACCTCGCTTCACTCGTCTTGCAAAAATTTAGTTGTTACTCCAAATAAGGTATTTTGTAACTGGGGACATATTAACTATTAAATAATTTGCGAAGGGCCAAATTTTTTTTATAAAAAGTAGCATTCTGTCGCATGGGACACATAGTGGCTGGTTTCCATGAACTTTCTGTAAGGAGAACGATTACAACAATTTGTCAAAAAATTTGAAACATTGGAGACATCTTATATGTCAATTTGAAACTAAAAATAAAATATAAAAGTTTGTTTATATTATATCTATTTCCTGCAGTTTTAATTTTTATATTGAAAATTAATCCTGTTAAAATTAGTCCTTTTCCTAAAGCAGACTCAAATAATCTTCCCCGAGATCCTATTAACACGGTGGAGTTTTATGCAAGTATTTCACAAAATTTTATTGCTGTGCTCAAACAAATAGATCCAGCTATAGATAACCTTGGTAATTCCTATCTTAAGTGTAGATTTGTTACACAATTTTCATAATAGAATTAAAATTTTGATGCGTTATTATAGCTACACTTACTGTCTGGTAATTAGGACCAGCCACATGCACATAAACACCTTGATGCAGCTTTCTGAGCAATCCCAGCTTTTTAGCAATCCTGACCGCCTGCTTTCTGAGATCCTTGTCATAGCATTTGTTCATAGGTGGAAATCTGTCACCGAACCGATCTTCATTAGGACCTCTCAACGGATTGTTGCCGGAAAACCCCAGAAAATTTATATGGTCTTTGATCATCATGATATCTCCGATTCTGTATTTTTTATTAACCCCTCCAGCGGCATTTGTGATTATGAGGAATGAACAGCCTAGTAATTTGAAGATTCTGCTTGGCATGCTGACTTTCGATAAAGAATAACCTATAAAAAATATTCCGAAACACTTATAAATAATAAGACCACGAGGTTACAGTGTCATGCGAATACCAGAAGAGATAAGGAAGGCCAAAACGTAAGCCTGATTTAGGAGAGTCAGGCTGGAACTTTAATTGAGGAAGATTCTGGAATCCAAGAGAGTAAAACGATGCCTAAACGGGTGGAACAAAAGTCAATAAGATCAGTTAATTGTCAATAATAACTTTAACGTAGGACTATAAAGTTTTAATTGATCTTGTTTTCTTTATTAAAAATTATTGTGTCATATCTAAGTAGATAATTGGTTGGTTAATTAAGAAGCTGTGCGTAAATAGCAATGTTGATTTAGAAAAGGAATCGGGCATAGATTAAATAGTTGAGAAAAATATATTATTTGGACTATTAATAGACCGATACGCCTTCGACAGGATAAAAAAAAGATAATCTACACACCTATAGTTTTTAGGGAACTAGGAGTAAACCCTAAACTAGTAAATATGATCAAACTAACGCTGCAAGAGACAGAATGGTAGGAATTAAAATTTAAATACCTAACCGAAAATTTTGATGTGATAAAAATACTAAAGTAAGGCGATCCATTGTCTTTGGCATAATTTTACTATGTACTCGGATACACTATGCAAAAACAAAAGATAAATTGAACGAGAATACTATACCAAAAGAGGTACCAGTGTTTGGTATTTGCAGACGAAATTGTTATAGCACTAAGAAGTAAACAGAAACTGTAATACGATTTGTTATGACTAGAGCAAAGCGCAGTGGAAATGATGCTAGAAATAAATGAAAAGAAGGCGAAAAAGAAATCGCCAATGCTAAAAACTTGTTTGAAGTAACAACAAAAAAAGAAAAAGTTTATAGCTTTAAAGAGGTTGAGTCATTTACTTGTTTATGTATGGGAAAGAAGAACCAATAAGAATTATACTATGAATCAGACATTATACTAAAGGTGGAACACATTAAACGCATGACTGGTGGATACGTAAAAAACTCATGAAATGTGGCTTAGGAGAAAAGAGGAAACAAGGTAAATCAAAAATAAGATTAATGGATGAGGTGCTGAAGAATGTAAAGTCTGAAAATCAATAACTGAAGAAAACAAAGGACCGAAGGAAATGAAGAAATATAACTTATCATACAAGGCAGATATTAAATATAATACTATTGTTAAAAATGTAAAACAAGTTTCTCAAAAACTTCGTGTGACATAAAACATAAGCTTCTACCTGCAAAAAAATTCTAGTTTTCTTACCTTCGTAAAAATGGAATCGCCCCTTCAGAACTATTACTGGGACTTCAAGTATAGTACCAAACACTAGAGATCCAATTTGACCTTCAACTGTGCTTTTGGGAAAATATGGAATTTCGTCATAATTAATTTCGGTTGGATTTTCAACCACATTTGCGATACTGCCTACAATTACAAACCTATTTCCGAAAATATTTTAGAGGTATAAATTTTCCTAACAGACTTGGATACCAAATATATGTGTACTATAGAAATACAGGGTGTTATTGAAATACACGTATATATTAAAATGGGGAATAGTATGTAATGACCAAAAACGATTGGCACCAATTTTAACTTCAAATTCTAAAATTTAAATATTGGGGAAGAGTCCCCTTTTCCGACCTACTAGTTTCCATATTTAAAGAAGTAAAATAAATCGAAATTGAACTTACCCATAGAAATTGCACTGTTGCCGTAGCAAAACCAATTAATTCAAAATAAAGTTTATTACAGTAATTGTTCAAAATGCCGTCCATTATTATTTACACACACTTGCAATCGTCTTTCCAAAGAACTTTGAACATTAGAAATTAGTCTTGGATTTTGTCGTAGTTCCTCGGCTACCGCATTAACTTTATTGGTTAATTGTTCAACACTATTAATAGGTTCATTATAAACCAGTTGTTTCATGTGACCCCACAAAAAGAAATCGCATGGATTTAAGTCCGGAGATCTCGGAGGCCACTTAGTAGGTCCATTTCTGCCTATCCACTTTTGAGGAAATCTAATGTTCAAAAACTGCCGTACGTTTAAATCAAAGTGAGGAGGAGCGCCATCTAGTAGGTACCACATCCGTTGCCTTAATTGTAACGGTATCTCTTCTAGGAGTACTGGCAAAATATCTTCTAAAAAGTGGAGATATCCTGGCCCATTTAATCTGTTCGGGAGAACATAAGGCCCGATTAAATACTGATCTATTATGCCAGCCCAAACATGTATTGAAAATTTTCTTTGATGCCCAGTTTCCCTAATGGCGTGAGGATTTTCATCACTCCAAATATGCGTATTGTGCATATTGAACACGCCATCACGAGTGAATGAAGCCTCGTCAGTATACAATAATATTTTTAGAAAATCAGGAATATCAACACATTTTTGAATCATCCATTCACAAAACTCCACTCTCTTTTCTTCATCACCTGGATATAAGGCCTGGACTTTTTGGATGTGATAAGGATATAAACCTTGTTCTTTAAGTGACCGCCACACAACAAATGAGGACACTCCAATTTCAAGACCTAGTCTTCTACAACTTAATTGAGGCCGGTTTTCAACAGCTTCCAATATTTCTTCTTCGGCCGCCAATGTTCTTTGTGTTCTTGTTCTCCCTCGATCTGCATTGACACTCTCAAATTTTCCATGGTCTCTTAGATGCTGAACAGTTGAAATAAACGTACGACAGTCCGGAATTCTTTGATTTGGAAACCGTTCGCGATACAGGATTTGTGCTTGCCGAGAATTTTCTCCAGCTGCCCCATAAACCAGCACTATATCCGTTAGTTCAATATTCGTAAATAGTGGCATCGTAAAAAAATATTTAAAAGTAATCGTAACAACACTTTTTACCAACTTGGAAATGACGCGCTCGTGTTAGCCAGATTCGTAAATCAACTAAAATTTTAATAATCTATAGTTTCAAAAATGTATAGTTTAAAAACAATCATTTATCAAATATTCTAGTTTTTTGATAACGAGGGTAGTAAAAACCAGTCTTCGGAAATAGAAATTAATTCGAAAATCTTGGCAACATGGTTATTTCTTACAAGACTAGTTTTCTTATCATCTGACAAAAACTTGCATATTAATTACTGTTGATGTTTAAAATAGGTAAATAAACCTAATTTATATAGGTCATCCTCAACATATCAGTGAAGTACGTTTGTTTTAGAATTAATTTTCAAAAATTAATAACTCCCTTAATAAGGGGTATTTTTAAAAAATAATATTTTTCTACATTCAGTGGGGATCTGCGCAATACCCAGTTTTAATATGTACGTGTATTTCAATAACACCCTGTATAATATTAAAATAATGAGATATAGGTTGAGATTACAGGATGCAAGTCAAGGATACTTGACTCTCTATAGTATGGGCAAATTTTTAAAGTCACCGTAAAATTAATCGATGAAATCCATCGTGACGTTACTGATGAATCCGATGGAATGACGATTAAAAGGATTTTCAGATGCGAAGAAGGGTTAGTTATCCTTCCTACATGGGTTAATTTTCATGGTTTCTATTTTGTGACGATATTTTGTAAAGGCGTAATATATTGACGTAGAAAATCAAAAAGTGGGAATATCCATCGCATTCATCGGTCTTCAATCCTGATTAATGTGTTAAACATCGATTCTTTTCAACGATGAAAATACAAACGGTTAGATGAAAGTCCGGTTAAACATGCGATGAGTTAAAAAACGCCTTGGTGCAATCCCTATTCAATCGGTGGATCCATCTATCAGATTAAAAATTTGCCCTATGCTTCTGTTAGTCCGCCATTTTTGCAAATCTGCAAAAATGCAGACGTGGTGAATTTTCTGTAATGTGACCCAAAATGTACCTTTTCATTTTTATCAAATGTATTCACCTGATTTATATTGCTATGGATTTTCACTTAGTTTTCTTTAGTGAAAAGAGACTTTTCATGGATGAGAAGGACAAAGAAAATAATCTTTTGATTGCTATAATCATTTCTAACACTATAATCATTTACTAACACTAAATTGTTGAGATTGCACAAAAGGCAGCCATATAAGTATTTATTTTATACTTACTTAATCCAGATCCACATATTATGGCTACTTTAGGAAAAATATTGTTTGATCTTTGCTTTAGAAAATCTGCTATATCTTCTAGTTGCCAATATGTGTACCTGTGAGAACACGATATTTACTAATATGTAAAACCAAAAGTATGTAAATATAGATGAAAACTGATTACATCATATAAGAAATAATCATAATCTTTTAATTTAAATTAAAACAATTTTTAAACATTATTTAAAACCATATTTTTAAATTATATTCGTTTCTGTATAAATTTTTGATATACTCACACGCCTTCACTGTCTCCCATTATTAGATTTATGAATATGAAGTTGTTTAAATAATGATGAAATGAAGTTACGAAACATACAAAAAATTTGTGCCGTTGACACAATTTTGACAAATCTGTCAATAAAGGAGAAGCATCATCTCCCATACCCTACAAATTATCATTAGGGTAGAATGAGTATAAATCACATATTTTGATTACTATACGGTGCAAGAGAGAGGTCCGATACGCCCAACATAGGGCGCGGCCATTTTGATGCCTTTATCACAGTTTATAGCTAAAGAATCAGTTCGCTCACTCTGCGTCGGTACTTTTGATCTCAATGTTCCAGTTTATACCAATGACATATATAGTTTATATAGACTGCTCATCCATACGTAAATAAAGCGATGAAAAGCGAGTCGAACTTGGAGATGTTTTCTCTTTGTCTAGTACATGAAATGTTTGTGTTTTGTTCTCAAATGTATGTGCTCACCGGTAAACAAACCTTTTACAGAACCGGTTTAGAAGAAAGTTTAGTTTAATTGAGATTTTGTCATCACTCTCATTGCTCAGTCGAACATTTTGTTGAATTGTTTATTTTATTAAATTTTAATTATACTTATATTCTGTTTTAAGTTTTTTTAATTGATTGAATATAAAAAATTGTTTTGTTTTTGAATTTAAATGGTGAATTGCTCTATAAAACGTTATATGATCAGCTACAGAAGTATAAAAAGTAACATTTTATTTTTCACGTTAAGTATCAATACAAGTAGGTACAAGGTAAATACGTTTATGAATTATAATAATGATAATATTAATAACAAATTCTTTATTGTAAATACAATTACATAAATATAAATATTATATTCAAAGGCCCGAGTTAGAGCTAGCTGGGCTTGACAAGTAGATTTTAAAAGTTTAGTTAGTTAAAAAGAAGTATCGTAATATAAAAACTGGCATGGCCATTTTGAATTTGTAACAATGTAATTTTACATTATAGGTATACCAGCAAATTTAAAATTTTTTATTATAACTGTTAAATTTGGTAATATAGGGTATAAGGTATCATTTTTATAAGATGTTTATAAAGGAGTGTAAAATTGTTTACACCTATGTTCAAAACTGTTTCGATCTTTTAAAATGTTTTGAAAATATGGAACTAAACTTTAAGACTTAAATAAAGACATTTTCTTTTTCAAAATACCTAACCAAGCTCCTGTCTTGAAGTAAACATTCAGCTAATTATTTTTTTTAATTCACTTCCTACTTTAATGAAATATGAGTTTTAAACTCATTTGGGCCAGACCGATTCTGCCTGGTGAGCACTCGGCAAGACAAGCAATATAACCCGCTTTTCGTTGTCTTGTTTATATATGGATATACAGTCTATATAAACTATATATGTCATTGGTTTATACACTGCGCAACTCGGATAATATAATATATGACAACCGCCTATAATAAAACAGCAGTCTTTTGCGCATCCTGAATTTGTATCCCTGGAGTGGATGTTATTTTGGAACTTTCAACTGGTCCGAGAGAGCTAACTGATTCTTTAACAATAAACTGTGACTCCAAAAATAATATTCACTGACACTGACAGCAGCAAGAAAAATATGCGCTAGTTCAGTGATGATGTACAGTTCATCAAATTTCTAGAGGCTTTCGACGGCTAGACAGAGAAAGCACTACTGACAGGTATCCCGACGGATTTACGCAATGAAAGTACACTCTGCGCATCAAGTATTTCACTATTTCATTCAGACGTAAATGTCAGATGTAAATTTCGCTAAAACATTTCTTTTATTTTCGTTTGTGTTTTTTGCTCATTACAGTTTAATAGAACCTAAGTATGGAGTTTTTGAACAGTCAATCTCGCGAAATAATAGCCAATGTTATAGAGTTTATGAGAAGAGAAGGAAACTTTAATTCACCTTCAATACCATTTAAAAATGTAAATGATCGTGTTGCTGCAGCCACAGGAGTATCTAAAAACACTGTCGTCCGCATTTCTGGAGAGAAAAAAAGAATCGATAACCGTGAGATATCGGAATTTTCATCACCAAGAAAAACCATTAAAAAACCAAAAACAGTTAATGATATAGATGAAGCTGCACAAGAATCAAATTTTATTTTTTTATTATTAGATAGCTATTTTTGTTTCTGAGTTGTGTTCATTTACAGGCTCAATTTTTTTCCGTTTCTCCTTTTTGATTTTATATGGGGTTTCAAGTTGTTTTTGACTTATTTCGACGTAAATCACAACAACACACTTTTTTAATAAAGCAAACAAGTGTTAAGAGGTATATATATGTACGTGTAAACTACAATTACAAAAAATTGATATGAAACCCATGAAACCACCAACAAAAATGTAAAGCTAGCTTCCGTACTAGAACATGGTGTCATTCGTCGAGATAATTTATCGTTTTGTTTAATAGATCAAGAAATGTAAATATTCCCCTGTTATTTTTTATAAAATTATAAGAGAAATAAATTTTTTTCTAAATAGTATAGTTTATTATTTTGTAGAAAAACAAAATTTCGAAAATTTTAGTAATGTTTCAGAAACAACCGTTATTAATAATAGGTACCATTTTCCTTAATAAGGTAGAAATAAAATATAAACTATTTCCACGATTTACAAAGGCCTACAAAAAAATTATAGGTATTTTCCGCTATCCTATAAAATTTATATTTTCTGACTCAATTTCAAAAGGTTAAAGGAATTCCAAAACACCTTTTATGGCATAATAATTATTTTCAATTCTACATACTATCTTTAGCTGCTTTTAAAAACGTTCTAAGAAAGTCCAATCAGACCAATTTAATCCCTAAACTATTCCACACTTTTAAAATTTAATTACCTAAAAATATTAAAAACTATTTAAAATAACTTGTTTAGAAGACTGTACAATAGCTATCTTAGTCACACGTAGCGCGTTCTCTGTCTGGGCGTCGAACACCTCTAGAAATTTGATGAACTGTAATTATGGTTCCACTGACAATTAAAGTGACGGTAGATTTTTTGAGTGCGTTTTGTTCGTTTTGTTTACCTACCTTTTATAAATATATTCCTAAAGTAAGTAGATAGCATATATCAAATATACAATCGTATTCGCTCCGTGCGAAGTCATGGAAAGGGAAGCAAAAGCGATACTAGCGCTAGCTGCGGATAATTCGTGCATTTTAGGGGGATATTTTGTAATTTTGGCATATCAAATAATAATAACAGTAATGCTGGAAATAGTAGACATCAGAAACTAGAAAGTTTTTAAATAAACAATAAATTATCATTTTATGATGTTCTTTAATATCCCTTTATTCTTAAATGTTCATTCAGCAAGGACTAGATTTCAAGATTTCTGCCGTTGATTATAATATTTGGCTGGTATGCAATTTTGTGACTTACTGATCGGAAACCAGTTTTAATCATTCATTCTATGTTTTCTTTAGAACAAAAATGAAAATATAAGTAGCGATCCTTTTTATACATTTTAACTTCACGCTATTATAAATGGTTTCTTCAATGACAACTTATTAGACTTAGGCAACTTCTCATACATTTTCCAGTAAATACTGTTGCCTGCCTATATTTTATTATTCATTTTTAATGATTATACATAATTTTCTTCAATTTAAGCGTGAAAAATATATAATAATAATAAATTAATGTTTTAATTGTTTTATAAATCCATATACTTTTATTAAAACTAACATATATACTTTTTATTTACGAATTCTATTAAAAATTGTATTTGTCAGTATAGGCAGAAATACTCCTTTAATACCAAAACAAATTGGCGCTGCTGTCGCGCACGGAGCGAATAGTTACCAATAACATACCTATTTTTTATGACCTGCAAACAATATTTTGAAATAAAATAAAAACAGTAAAAACGTATATGTCAAATTTATTGATGTTTTTGTTAAAAGTTTGGTTAGAATTAAATGTCAGTGGAACCAAATTGATATCACACTGAACTAGCGCATTAAAAATATTGCGCCAAGATGTAGGCGACACGTAATAAGGCATCAAAATGGTGGTCTTTTTAAAAGGCACTCAGAAAGCTGCGCAATGCGACCATTCTCCGTTTAGTAAGAGACAATCAAAGTATGTGGTATAAATTAAAACCCTATGTAGTACATAAAGTAGTGTGAATTATGTCATAATTAACTGTAGCGTGTCACATTTTCTTGATATCTGGCTATTTTCGATTTTTGCTTTTTATTAATTTTAATAACTGAAGCCTTTAGTTTGCAGTCTCTATCCTGCAAACACACATTAATGGAGCAACACTGGTACAATAAATGTGAACAATACTATTTGATTTCTTCAGAAATTGTAAAATTATAAATTTTATTTTAATTTTTTAGGCCATATTGACTGGATGACGTAGCATAATTTATTTTCATTTTTATACAAAAAAAACATTCTTTCGAAATTGCGTTTAAAATTATTTAAAATAAATTTCTATTGGTTACTCAAACAAAAGATATTAATTGCTGTTTGAATGAATAAAATATAATTAGGTGCCTAGGAAGTATAAAAATGTGTTTATTTTTCTGTTACTATACAACGTTTGTAATGCAATGTTCATAGATTTTTCTATCTCCATTCAAAACGTTTTCTTAAAGTATTTTCTCGCTGTAATTCTGTTTTGCCTTTCAATAACCATATTAATTACTACTTATATTTGTTAAATATTTAACATCTAGGTATATGTCCTCATTATTAATTGATATTGGATCTGATTGTGTATACTAATTTTCCATTATTAGTCCATTCTACTTCTACAGAACAGCAGTATATTATTACAAGGAGTAAAATGAAATTTTTAGGGTAACTACAAGATGGTTGACATAGTTACTAACCGAAACGTAGTAGAATCTTCAGTTTTTAAGATATTCGAAAAAAAAAAGATTTATTATTCTTGGCAGCAGCTGCATATTATTTACTAACTTTGTAGATGTTTTTAATATTTTATTTCTTAAGAGATGGACAACATTGCCAATTCTTCAAGTTATAGGAGAATCAAGGAATTCTCGGCCTGATCAAAAACAGCTATCGTGAAGACTGAATAGTCAAATCCAATTAATGGTCAATAAATCTAAAAAAGAAAAAATAAAAATTAGGAGAAGAATTAAGAAATATATAAGGGTGACTGTAGATTATAGAAATTTTGAAAAGTTGGAAAAGAGAATATGTGCAAAAATTATAAAAGGCATGAAAATAAAATGAATTTAGTTGTCAAAACAGGAAGAAAACAGTTGAAGAAAATTTATAAAATTCCTTTTTAAACTTAAAATTAATCATTTTTGTAAACCATTCGAAAATATGAAAAAAAAAATAAAAAAAAAATCATGGATTTGATAAAACCTAAAATACTTACTGTCATCTCAATGTGCAGAGCCACACGTACATGGCGTTTTAGTTCCAATGTACTTGACCATCAGTTTCACAAACTCTTGAAGGGGTTGTTCCATAGCCTTTACTGCTTCCAGAACATCATAATGGTCTGGTTCTTTTTTGTCACTACCATAATCAAGGATACCTGGAAATAGTGTAAAAATATACACAATTATTAGTAATTTATTAACTAAAAATAATCATTTACTTAATTAATCTTCTTAGATGAAAAGAAAACAGTTTAAACAATATGAAACTAAAATTATGAAGATAAATCAACAAAAAATGTTTCTAATGTAAGACATAACGGATAAGACAGATTTGCAAATTAAAGAATAAGTTTCTAACTTAGATCTTAAACATTAAAATACGTTGTCATTTCTATTATATAGGTTATTTATATAAAATTTCTTATTAAAACTTAAAAGTTTTAAACTTCTCTGATGTCTTCAACATTAAACTCTAATATACAGAGTAGGCTATCGAACAATTTCCAATACGTTTTGGCAATATCCAAGTGAAAACTACAGAGAGTTAGTATTATAGCGACTAGGAAACGAATAGTATCAACGTAGCCATCCAGCTGCGTGGAAATATATCTCGCTGTGTGCCTGTTCACATTACACAGCGCACAAAGCAACGTTGATATTATTCCTTTCCTGTTAGACCGAATGCTAACGTTCTGTAGTATTCTCTCTTCAACGCTAAAATATTTAGAACAATCTAAACACTAACTGACTAACCTGAAATTCTTACTATCAAAATTTATTTAAAACGTTTCAAATAATGCTCTAAATTTTTTGTATTTTCTCTCAAAATGCTGAGTTTGTGTGGCCCAAGCCACAAATGTGTCGTTCGTCCTTTGAGCGATTTCTTATTGTTCGCAAATTCCATGATCTTTTGAACTTGGTTCAACCGTACTGATGAAGACCAATAATAAGAAACACGTGTCTGCAATTTGCCTTATAGCTTTTTTGTCTTTTGTTAACGGGATTTGTTAACCTTCTTCTATTTTTTTTATTAAAATTTTATTGTTAATTCCTTTATTTCTAATATTTTTTTTATAAATATATGTTTTATTATTATTTTATTAATTATTACGTCAAATAATTATTTACCAAGTGATTACCAATAGAACACAATGCTTGAGAATCAGTCAACAGTAACAGCTGAACACACTAGACACTCAAGGCGACTCAAATCGTTGTCTGGGAGAGCGCCGACGACGGTCCGCTACTACCGCATCAGTTCCCCGCACTCCCCGCTTTTGACTGCCGATGTTTTCTACATTAATACAATCACACAAAAATTTGTTTACCTGCTAACAAATATTTATTTCATGTTCGTGATAACTGCGCACGGTTCTAAATTATATCCAAACACACTCAAGAAGAAGAAGAAGAAGAAGAAGAAGAAGAAAAAGAAAAGAAAAAGAAAAAGAAAAAGAAAAAGAAAAAGAAAAAGAAAAAGAAAAAGAAAAAGAAAAAGAAAAAGAAAAAGAAAAAGAAAAAGAAAAAGAAAAAGAAAAAGAAAAAGAAAAAGAAAAAGAAAAAGAAAAAGAAAAAGAAAAAGAAAAAGAAAAAGAAAAAGAAAAAGAAAAAGAAAAAGAAAAAGAAAAAGAAAAAGAAAAAGAAAAAGAAAAAGAAAAAGAAAAAGAAAAAGAAAAAGAAAAAGAAAAAGAAAAAGAAAAAGAAAAAGAAAAAGAAAAAGAAAAAGAAAAAGAAAAAGAAAAAGAAAAAGAAAAAGAAAAAGAAAAAAAGAAAAAGAAAAAGAAAAAGAAAAAGAAAAAGAAAAAGAAAAAGAAAAAGAAAAAGAAAAAGAAAAAGAAAAAGAAAAAGAAAAAGAAAAAGAAAAAGAAAAAGAAAAAGAAAAAGAAAAAGAAAAAGAAAAAGAAAAAGAAAAAGAAAAAGAAAAAGAAAAAGAAAAAGAAAAAGAAAAAGAAAAAGAAAAAGAAAAAGAAAAAGAAAAAGAAAAAGAAAAAGAAAAAGAAAAAGAAAAAGAAAAAGAAAAAGAAAAAGAAAAAGAAAAAGAAAAAGAAAAAGAAAAAGAAAAAGAAAAAGAAAAAGAAAAAGAAAAAGAAAAAGAAAAAGAAAAAGAAAAAGAAAAAGAAAAAGAAAAAGAAAAAGAAAAAGAAAAAGAAAAAGAAAAAGAAAAAGAAAAAGAAAAAGAAAAAGAAAAAGAAAAAGAAAAAGAAAAAGAAAAAGAAAAAGAAAAAGAAAAAGAAAAAGAAAAAGAAAAAGAAAAAGAAAAAGAAAAAGAAAAAGAAAAAGAAAAAGAAAAAGAAAAAGAAAAAGAAAAAGAAAAAGAAAAAGAAAAAGAAAAAGAAAAAGAAAAAGAAAAAGAAAAAGAAAAAGAAAAAGAAAAAGAAAAAGAAAAAGAAAAAGAAAAAGAAAAAGAAAAAGAAAAAGAAAAAGAAAAAGAAAAAGAAAAAGAAAAAGAAAAAGAAAAAGAAAAAGAAAAAGAAAAAGAAAAAGAAAAAGAAAAAGAAAAAGAAAAAGAAAAAGAAAAAGAAAAAGAAAAAGAAAAAGAAAAAGAAAAAGAAAAAGAAAAAGAAAAAGAAAAAGAAGAAGAATTAAATGCTCCGACATACGTAAATATTCCCAAGACCAACAATTTTTGTGGATCACTTCTTATATTAAACACCGATATAACCAGATTTTGATCTATTTGAATATTATTTATTAATTTGCTTGATCGATTTGAGTCGCAAATTAATAAAAATGTTGCAAATATTATTATAGAATGTACCTTCATCAGATATTAGACTGAAACCAAAAATTATTAGACCAGCATGTCTAGCTGCAATAACTTCGGCAATGGTTGACATGCCCACGGCGTCAACTCCACAAATTGCTAACATTTTCATCTCTGCCACCTTAAAATACAAAAATTTATAAATTAAAGAATATTTTGAGTTTTTAAGCACATTGTAATAGTATTATAATTGGGTAATATGAATTCTAAAGAGCATCATAAAAAGTCTCGTCCTGCAAAAACAAATGGAGACATAATAACTATTAAATTATTTTAAAAAAGTATTTTTTTATAAAAGTCCATGAACTCTCTGTAAAGAGAACGATTACAACAATTTGTCCCAAAATTTGAAACATCGGAGACATCTTATGTGTCAATTTGAAACTAAAAATAGAATATAAAAGTTTGTTTATATTATATCTATTTCCTGCAGTTTTGAATTATTTATATTGAAAATAAATCCTGTTAAAATTAGTCCTTTTCCTAAAGCAGACTCAAATAATCTTCCCCGAGATCATATTAACATTGTGATGGAGTTTTATGCAAATATTTCACATTTTATTGCTGTGATCAAAAAAATAGATCCAGCTATAGATAACATTGGTAATTCCTATCTTAATCGATAACTAAACCTAATTATTATACTGTACCCACAGTAGATTTGTTACACAATTTCTATAATAGAATTAAAATTCTGATGCTGCACTTACTGTCTCATAATTAGGACCGCCCACATTCGCATAAACACCTTGATGCAGCTTTCTGAGCAACCCCAGCTTTTTAGCAATCCTAACTGCCTGCTTTCTAAGATCCTTGTCATAGCATTTGTTCATAGGTGGAAATCTGTCACCGAACCGATCTTCATTAGGGCCCCTCAACGGATTGTTACCGGAAAAACCCAGAAGATTTATATGGTCTTTGATCATCATAATATCTCCGATTCTGTATTTTTTATTAACCCCCCCAGCAGCATTGGTGATTATGAGGAACGAACAGCCTAGCAACTTGAAGATTCTGCTTGGCATGCTGACTTTCGATAAAGAATAACCTACAAAAAAATATTCCAAAGCACTTTTAAATATATGAAGTGGCTTAATATGACCAAAAGGTTACAGTGCTGCCATGCTAATACCAGAAGAGAGATGGCATGCCAAAACGTAAGCCTGATTTGAGAGAGTCAGGCTGGAACTCCAAGCATAATTCGGAAGACATGCTGGATCCCAAACGGGATTGGCGGGAACCTGCCGGAACCCTTCAGAAGTGAGTAGAGGAATGCCTAAACGGGTGGAATAAAAGTCAATAGAACTAATTAATTGTCAGTAGGACTATAAAGTTTTAATTTATCCTTATTACAATTTTACAGTCCTATAGCTTTAAGGAAACTAGGAGTAAGCCTCAAACTATTAAATCTGATCAAACCAATACTAGAAGAGACAGAATGGTAAGAAATTTAAATTTAATTACCTACCCAAAAACTTTAAGGTAACAGAAATACTAAAGCAAGGCGATATACTATCTTTTGCATCTTTTAACTATGTATAAAGATACATAGACTGAGAATACTATATCAAAAGAGATATCAGTGTTTTGCATTTGCAGACGACTATGTTATAGTAACAAGAAGTAAACAGAAACTGAGAGGATTTTGTTATGACTAAAGCAGTGGAAATGGTACTATAAATAAATGAAAAGAAGACGAAATATGTGACTGTTACTAAAAAAAAGTCACCAAAGGTAGATGATAATTTAAAGTAACAACAGCAGAGGCAAAAGGATATAGCTTTGAAAAAGTTGAGTCATTTACTTATTTATGTATGGGAAAGAAGAACCAATAAGAATTATTCAATTAATTAGACATTGAACGCGTCTGGAGAATACCTAAAAATCAAATGTGTGGCATACGAGAACAGAGGAAACGATGTAGATCAATTAATATTAGATGGATGGACAAGGTGCTAAAAAATGTAAAGTCTGAAGATCATTAACTGAAGAGAGAAAGCAAAAGATCGGAATAAATGAAGAAATATAATCTATCAAGCTATGCTACTATACTAAATATAAATATGCATGTCTTACAATATATACTATTATTAAAAATGTAAAACAAGTTTTTCTAATACTAAAATACAAATTTTCTTACCTTCGTAAAAATGGAATCGCCCCTTCATAATTATTACTGGGACTTCAAAGATTGTACCAAACACTAGAGATCCAGTTTGACCTTCAACTGTGCTTCTAGGAAAATTTGGAATTTCGTCATAATTAATTTCGGTTGGATTTTCTACTACATTTGCGAGACCGCCTATAATTACAAAACTATTTCCGAAAATATTCCTGATATATAAATCTTCGTATCAGACTTGGATACCAAATATATGGGTATTATAGAAATAGAATATTAAAACAATGAGATTAAGGGTGAGATTAAAGAAAATGCACAACGTCTGCAACTTTGCAGATCTGCAAATATGGCGGACTTACAGATGCAAGTAAAGGATACTTGACTCTCTATAGTATCGGTAATGTCTTTGCAATTTACCTTCTAAATAATACTAAATAAGTTGCAAAACTTTATTCTTAGTATAAAACAAATAAATAGGTACAAAGCTTAAATATTGAGGTTAAAACATGAAAAGGAATGGTGAACCTTCAAGGTTCCTACTGCCTAACCAACTGTGCCTTTTATTGACACGGTCAGGCAGCCAACTGTAGACTAAAAGTACATCTGGTTGAGCACATACTAATGGGTGGCACTAGATGTCACAGTATCCTTGCTTGAATCTTATATCTGTTAGTCCGCCATATTTGCAGATCTGCAAAGGTGCATTTTCTGAATTCTCACCCTACATGTACCTAATTTTCTTTTTTATCAGATGTATTTACTTAGTTTCCTTTAGTGAAAAGAGACTTTTCATGGATAAGAAGGACGAAGCAAATAATCTAATAAAATTGTTTTAAACATTTATAGTAACATGAAATTGTTGAGATTGCACAAATAACAGACAGATAAGCACTTATTTTTATACTTACTTAATCCAGATCCACATATTATGGCTACTTTAGGAAAAATATTGTTTGATCTTTGCTTTAGAAAATCTGCTATATCTTCTAGTTGCCAATATGTGTACCTGCGAGAACAACAATATTTACTAATATGTAAAACTAAAATTATGTAAACATGAAAACTGATTACATCGTATAAGTGATCTATTCATTTAAATTAAAATAATTTTTAAACTTTATTATTTAAAACTTTGATTTTAAATATAAAATGTATTCGTTTTTGTGTAAATTTTTGATATACTCACACTCCTTCACTGTCTCCCATTTATTAGTTTTATGGAGATGAAGTTGTTTAAATTATGAAATGAAGTTACAAAGAATACAAAAATTTATGCAATTGACGTAATTTTGACAAATCTGTCAAATAAGGAAAAGAATCTGTCTCATACGCCTAATAAATGATCATTAGGATAGACTGAGTATAAAATCACATACTTTTATTACTATACGGTGCAAGAGAGACACGCCCAATATAGGGCGCGGCCATTTTGATGCAATTACTACTAGGTTAGGCAATACATTTTTTAAAAATGGTAAACTGGTAGCCTACATCTTGGTATTTTGGGATTTGAAATGAAGGCAACAAATATAGAAAAAACGTTTATTTATTTAAAATAATATACAAGAAACTTCTTTGAAGTAAAGTTATAATTGCGAGTGCATCTTGAAATAAAGGTAAGTGGTTTTAAATTATTTCTAAATCTATACATATGATTTTACCTTAATTTTATGATATTTTTCGCCAGACCCATGCCCATTAACAAAAATTTTGAATACCTCAAGGAACAGTACTGGGTCCCTTACTATTTACATTCTACATTTCTATTATCATCCTTAAAAGTTTTGCTTGGAGGAAGTTTTTTTTTTGTAATAATGACAATTTGAAATGTTTGTCACTAATTTATTTCATACTGGTAGATTATGTTTGGTTATCAGTAATTGTGGTAGGTGATTTGTTAGTACAATTCTACTTAATATTATTTTGATGAATATGAGTAAAAATACACATTTAGTATGAATATAACGTTTAATATAATTATGTTAACTGACAATTATTTTTATCTTAAAATCACTCGTATCCCCTGATCGTATTCCAGTGATGCTTCATTTTATTTCTACAACAAAATTTATTCAACAATATCATCAGAATTCCAAAGTATATTATTTTAACAGCTTTGTGGACCAATGAATTACCTCTTTTTAGCAACATCCGCAATTACACGGTTTCTTACACCCCATAAACTTAACCATCTCTTTCACAAAGTCTTGAAGAGGTCCTTCCATAGCTTTTGCAGCCTTCAGTACTTCCAGATGGCCCGGCTTTTTCGTACTGTTATAATCGAGGATACCTGTATAAAGACAAAAGTAATTATCTAGAGATTTAAATCGAAGGTACGCATTTTATATACCTTCGTTGGTTATTAGACTGAAAGCAAATACCGCAAGATCACAGTGTCTAGCGACCAACACTTCAGGCACTGTTGACATTCCAACAGCGTCAATTCCAACTGTACTCAACATTCTCATTTCTGCAACCTGCATAATAAACGTTTAGAATAACAGTTAAGAGTTTGATGCTATTATATAAGATGACAATTTAAAAACTTACAATGACTCTATCTCATGAACTTAAGAGAAGCATTGTAAGCATTTTATATTTATTTATAACTTCCACCTTACAGATTCATAATTAGGACCTCCAACAGACGCGTATACACCCTCATGAAACTTCTTCTCCAGCCCGAGCTGCTTTACAACTTTTCTAGCGTGCTTCCTCAGATCCATATCGTAACAGTTAGTCATCGATGGGACCCTTCTTCCAAACATATCTTCATTAGGACCTCTTAACGGATTATTACCGGACAATCCGAGAAGAAAGACGTGGTCCTTGATCATCATGATATCACCTACTTTGAACCTTTGATTAACTCCACCAGCTGCGTTTGTGACTATGAGAAAGGAACAGCCTAGTAACTTGAAGATTCTGCAAGGCATGGTGACTTTCCATACAGGGTAACCTTAAAAAAAGTAAGTAATACAATAAAAATACTACAATAGTGGTTTACACTATAAGTTTAAACACTTACATTGCGTAGGTAAAAACAATTTTTAAAAATAAAAAAAAGTTTAAATGGTTTTGATTTTTTGAATTTAAAAAATAATAGGAAGCAGTAGGTTGATTTATAGTAGACATGTCTTATATATAACTTGTAAAAGAATTAAAAATTATATTTTGTAGTAATAATAGTAAAATATCAACACCCAACTTGATATATGTCGGCGTTGACAGCAAAAGAAATGGAAGATGAACAGGTGGACAACTAACGCATCTAAAAAAGTGCCAATAGGTTCTTTGACAAAATATTTTCCACCCAAAAAGAAGCTTCTTGCTCAAAACTTTGAAAATTTTGTCATATACAATAGACAGCTAAAGTTCACCAAACAAAGCATATTTTTTGAAAATTTCATCTACCTGGGAATACATTTTTATTTTGTCCTGTATAGAGTTAGGTAGGTGAATTTGCTTTAAAACAAATACCAACCGTCACTTACCTTCGTAGAAATGAAACCGTCCTTTCATAACTACCACTGGAACACCAGACAAACAACCAAAGACTAGGGAACCAGAGTGACCTATGACTGTACTCTTTGGAAAACAGGGAATTCTGTCATATGTTATTTCGATGGGGTTCTCTATTCCCTCTGCAAGAGGACCTACAATATTATGTAAGTTAGCAAATAATAGTTATTAAATACTCTCTGGATTGTTATTTATAAGAAACATTTGTAGTAAATATAGTGTGAAGTATTTAGCTTTTAAGAGACCATTTAGGTACATAAATAACATTCTTATTATATCTTTTTTCTTAATTTAGGCTTTACTCGTCTATGTTTTCTTCTAGAAGAGCCTTCTCATTCTTTCTTCTTACAGTAGTATCCCCAGCAAATTCTTTGCTTTTCCATATTTTCTAATCCATTATAATATTCGTAACTATCGCAAATCGGAAACTGGTTCCACTTTAAAACTTCATATATATTTTCCATTGTCTGCTTATCTGCCTCCTCTTCAATATTAGCACTCTTTCTTGTTCATTGCCCTTGATGAGTCACCCAATTATACAGTGTGACAATTTTAAAACTCACTTCCATCAACCCCCTAGACTCCACCTACCCCAACTAAATAAGTTTAAATAGCAAACCCCTACTCGTGATACATCATTGAAAAGCCTATAAAAAATGCTATCTAATCGTATAAATTGTATAGGGTGAATCAATAATTGTGAAACCTTGTCTCAAAAGGGAAATGTAATGAAGTTTTTGTTGAACAATAAATTTGTCTCTTTTGAGTTCTTTTAAGTTCCCCCTTCCTATCCTAGAAACGGTTTTAAGCATTTTTTTGATATCATCTTTCGTTTGAAAGATATAGCCCCATGTAAGTGTTTAAATTGTCACACTGTATATCCTATTACTTCGTGAATTCTAAACATTATATTTGCGACTTTGTTAAGACTATTTCCTATCCTAGAAACGGTTTTAAGCATTTTTTTGATATCATCTTTCGTTTGAAAGATATAGCCCCATGTAAGTGTTTAAATTGTCACACTGTATATCCTATTACTTCGTGAATTCTAAACATTATATTTGCGACTTTGTTGAGACTATTTCTTTTTCCAAAATGTATGACAAACAAGATGTAATAGCACTTATAAACTGTAATTGTTTGATAATGCTCACCTAATCCAGATCCGCATATTATAGCCACTTTCGGCACCATACAGTTGATGTTTTCTTTTAAATAATCGGCGGTTTCTTTGAGTTGGTAGTAACTGTATCTATAAATAAACAATTTCATTAAGTATTGCTTTTATATTGGGAAGAACGAGTTAGCTGTGTAGTAACGCCACTGCCTTGTATTCGAAAGATGATTTTTTCTAGTTCCACTGCCACCTAGCCTGCTATTATTTTTTTATAGGTTTTCATTGGGTCAGTAACTTCCTCTCAGGTACCTACTACCATTCCTTCCACGTCATGCAAGCCAAATTCATTCAGTGCAACTGAAGAGACTAGGAAAAATGAAATACACGTCTTTTACCTTTTTTTTTTCCTTACATAGGAACCAGTTCAGGTTTCTGTCATCTAATTACCCTATCAGATACTTCAGGTGTACTTTTATTGTAAAAGGAAATTTCCTTATAGGTATATTCCTATTCTAGAAAAAATTATACAAAGCAATCTGATTTACCTCTACAGTCATTTTAGTGCGAATGTTAAGCTGGAATTTTTAATTGTTAATCTACATTTTTGCTTATCTTTGTCAGATATGTATTGAAATTTTACTAAACTAACCTGCCTTCAATACTGTCTGCCATTTGGGGAAGTAGTGAATTATTTTCTTTTTATTAATGAAATGGGATGGACAACAACACAAAGAATTTACAAAACTGACATGTTGACTGACAGAATGAAACTACAGATGTTACTCATAGCAAAGAATACCTACCCAAGAAGCGAAACTAAATGGGCGATTTGTGGACAAAAAACTGCCAAGTTTTCTCAGTGTTTTAGAGGTGGTTCAACGTCAAATATAGCTGTCATTTATGAAGAGCAACGTTTGGTATATTATTATTAGCGTTTTGTGAAAATTGCAGTATACCTAGTTAAGTAGTTGTATTTAACTAAGTAGTAATTAAAAATTTGTATTACGTAAAAAAAATACATTGCGTTATTCGTAAATTTTATTGAACGTTCATGCATCTGGCTGTCAATGTTTTTTTTTTTAATTTCTAAATAAGTATTACCTATAATGATAATTGACGCTTACGTATTATTCATCGTTTAATTTTTTAGCCTTTTATTTAAATATGTTATTTTTTTGTTTTTCAAACTATTCGAATTAAAACAGTAAATAAACAATAATACAAAACAATATTTAAAACATATGAAAATCTCACTTCGAGAAACCAAGTCACTGCTATTAGGATAGAATCGAAATGCATTTACAGATATCTACACTATTTCTGGATATGTAACGTGTAGAGGGTGGGTTACCCCACGGCACTTAGGCCTCACTAGGTCCATTGTGTATCCACCTACAATGATAGGCACCTCCTAGCTCGTGAGCCAGCATACATATTTAATGTAGTTGATAACGTCGCCAAGAGGTGCTTCTCTTATATCGGCCGATGCGATAGCTAATACACGCCGAAAACAAATCTTCTAATAAATGAGAGCGACTGGCAATCGTAGAGGATATGTTCAATGGTCTTATCTTTTTGTTCGCACCCCCTGATGGGTGCGGATTCTGACAGCCCCATGATATCGAAATGCTTCCGTACTTGGCAATGACCAGTCAGAATGCCTGTAATCAGACGCAGATTCTGTTTAGTCGTAGTCAAGTATTTGTTTGTTGTAGTGTTGTCAGGATAACTTAAAAGCTCCCTGGTAACTTAGCAGTTTCTTATTTCATCCCATCTTTCCTTTAATTTCACAAGGGAATATTCTTTAATTAGGTCTGTCACTACCGATGTTGTCAGTTTAATAGAAGGGCCAGGTCCAAAAAGTATTTGGTTGGCCGCCTTCTTGGATAATGAATCAGCAATAAGGCTACCTTTCGATGTGGCGTAACCTTTGATCCATCCATCTTAAGGTGACCAAATTGTTGGATACTCTTGCCAAAGCTTCGTGGCATTCTAGTACTAACCCTGAGTAAATTCGTAGCCTGTTCAGGGTAAGTAGTGTTTATCTGCTCTCTGTATAGATGAGCATGTTCCTACCAGTGATATTGTTTCTAATTATTTCTTTTGCTGCTATGAGAACCTCCGTGATCTTCGTGAACTACATTGGCACCACTGCTCACAGCCCATTTTATGTTGAGGTTTAAGAAATTGGAGTATGTTCCACATCTTGAGCATTGTTTTGTTGTAGAACCGTCGGTGTAGATATGAATCGTACCTGCCACTTCCGGATCTTCTATTTGTTTTGTTATAACTTCATATGGCTTATGGAAGATATATCTCGGTGAGATGAAGTTCATGTTCGCTTGAAAAAGTGGGAGCGTATCGAGCGCCTCCTGCCAAAAAAGCCACGTCTCGCCTCACCAGATCCTACATCAGGTTCTATTCCAACCGTGCGGAGGCAACCTCCTTGATGTAAATATCAAGGGAGTGAGACTAAGAATGACTTTTATGGCTCTAGTCGGTGTTGTTTTCATGGCTCCTGTTATGATGAGACATGCTGTTATTTGAATTTGTTCTATTTTGTGGATGGCTGTCAATTTTTGAATTTTAGGTACACAGACACCTGCACCATATATTAGCATAGGTCATGGCCATGTAAGTCCATGTGACGACTCTGGGGGAGAAACCCCAGGTGCACCCTATGGTTCGGTATAATTGTTTATAAGTAATGTATGCTCTTTTGAAGGGTGAGTTAACTTGTTATCAAAGGTGCTACATACATTGCGTTCGGTCTGCCAAGTTCCTTTAACTCCTTTAACACTTTTAACTCCAAACGACCCTTTTAGCGTTAGGTTAAGTCCGTTTAGTGACAGTTTAACACGCTTAAATGTCATTTAAAAGCACCCTAAAATTTGTCCCGCTCCAGCCCCTGACTGACCGAACTCGCCTCTAGGTACTTCATCTCTGTTACAAAGTTGTGTTTCGTGTTTTGGAGCTCTGTAAATTTTAATTTCTTTTTTATCCTTTTTTTTGTGAAAAGGATTCTTTCTGTCTTCTTGGGATTAATAGACAGTGAATGGTCCTTGCACCACTGTTCCATAATTTTTCTCAAAATTCCCCATTTGCAAAATGATCAAGTCATTTGCTTTCGGTATTGTTTATTGTACCTACTGAATTATTTCGTTATTAAAATAATCTATTTGACATAAGGTTTGTTCCAACACGCGCGAAAACCGTAATATTATCGTACAAATCGTGCGCTCTACCCAAAAATTGTAGGAGAGCACATGATTTGTACGGTAATATTACAGTTTTCGCACGTGTTGGAACAGACCTAATATGAACATAGTAAGAATGTGTTATCTGTCATTGTTACTTTAGTATGTGTTTAATTTTAATGAACCAAACGACAAAAATTGATTAATTTTTATACGTTTCCCAGTGTAATAAGTTCCCTTGCTTTCGTACATACGAAAACTCATTCAGTTTCACTTCTTGGGTAGGTATTCTTTGCTCATAGATGTGACCCAAGCTTATGCTCTAAGGACCCAAGAGTGGACACTAGTATTGTTGTGTTGATTCCTTGTAAATGAGCAGTACCAGCAATCAATCAGAATAATATTCCCAAAATCAGACGACACTGACCTTGAGAATATCCATTACCGTTGCATTTTTATTTTGATCAGAAAAAGTGTGTAATTAGACATTCATATCAAACTGTTCATTATATTACACCATGGATATTCCTCTAGGTTTACCATATCTTGCAGTAAGTTACTATTGTATTGAAAAATAATATTTTTTTATGAGTAACTGAACTATGTTTTTTACATAAAACATAAAATTTTATAATCTCGCCATTTCGACAGAGGTTCAAAAAACTAAGAAAACATCTAAAATCCTTCTATATTCGAAACATTATGAGAGAAGGTTGTCTCTAGAGTACTTAGACATATTGTGCATCCTTCAAAATCGCACAAATAATATTATAATATATCAAAAAATAAAACATTATCAAACTGATTTACCAATATTCATTTTATAAGAAAATAATAATCTTAGATACTTAGAAAAGTTTATTTCTTTTTTAGTTCACTCTTTCTTATACATATGCAAGGTCTTTTAACGCCCATAAATTCCACAACTTTAACCAGTAGTTCTTGCAATTTTGGAATGGCCTCTTCAATTACATTTGAAATTTCTCGACGCGATGGTTCTCGATACACTATGTATTCCAGTCGGGCTTCAACGATTACCAAAGATAAACCAAAGACATAAAGATCGCAATGCCTCGCTTCAATCACTTCGGGTACAGTCGACAATCCCACAACGTCAGCTCCCAAAATATTTAACAAATTTGCTTCTGCTACCTGAAATTATTGATAGGTTAGTTTTTTTAACATTCTTGTCCATCCTACAGAATTGTAAAATAAAATGTCTGCAATAATAAAAGAGTCTTATCTGGTACATACAGTAGAAAAAATGAATTTGGTTGAAGAGATTGTTATAAAAACTATGTCTGACTAAGATTTTCTTAAAAAGTTATTGTACAATCTGAAAAATATTTAAAAGTTTAATTTAGAACATTCTCTCCATTGGATGCATTTTAAAATATTAAAATAGTTTAAATGGATTTGAGAAAATATAATGTTTCACTACAATCATTTAACTATTTATCTCTGGAGCACATGTATCAGTCTGTCTGTTTGGATAACACTGAAGGAAGGCAAAGAACAAATAATATAATTTTTAGCCGTAAAAATTTTCATCAAATACTAAGCAATTGACAAGTTTTGGCACGCTGGCCTCATACAAAAACTTCAAAAAATGTTCACTATACACTTTCTGGACATTCTTGCATCATATTTAACGGAAATAATGTTAAGAATGAAGCAAGAGAAAGCATACACCTAAAAAAGCAGGTGTACCACAAGGCTGTGTGCTAGGGCCAGTTCTTTACTTATTATGCATCAGCGATATCCCTCAATAACAATATGAGGTTTAGCAATGCTGTAGAAGTGCGCTTCCTAAAACCACATTGTTCTTTAGGAAATACTTTGTTACTAATAAAATATTTGTTACTTTGGATATTATCTATTCGTTATAAAATCGCCATAATCTTGCGAAATATCCACATTCCAAACAAATATTAACGTCATAAGTTATAAGGTCTATTATAGTAAGTATGCAGAGTTTTAACATTTGCAAACATTAGATTAGATTTAATACCACGATTATTTAAACCTTGCTAAAGTTTTTTTTGTTTTTTCATTTCGGTCATTCTGTAAATTCGTCAAATAAGAAGCTTTTTCTGTCCTAATTGCAGCTAATACAAAATTTCGACATTATTTGTAATGATTCCAGTATTGTGGAGTTGCACTACAAAGAAATGTACCAAAAGAATTAACTGTCAGTTGTCAGTTTACCAAGATACAGGTGTTTACTAACCCTAATCTATTGAAAACGCAAAAAGAATGGGTTCTACTTTGAACTAAACCCCATGACACATTTTTTAAAGGTGAACAAGTATTTTGACTTTGACATTATCTATAGCGATAATTTTTTACTTACAGTCTCTGAAGTTGGTCCTGAAAGATACGCATAAACGCCATTATGCACTTTCTTTCCCCATCCCAGTTCTTCTTCGGCGGTCTTCCTAACGTGCTTCAAAACTTCTTTATCGTAACAGTTGTTCATCGATACGAATCGCTCTCCGAGTCTAATTTCGTTAGGACCTCTTAACGGGTTGGAACCGGGAATACCAACGAAATCCAAATGATCTCTGAGCAGGACAACGTCTCCCAGTTTGTATTTCGGATTGACGCTGTGCGCCGTATTGCAAATTATGAGCTCAGTACAGCCGAGTAGTTTGAATAGTCGGACTGGCATGGTGACTATGTTTAAGGAGAAACCTAAATGAAATAGTAAACGATTAATGAACGGTGTTAATTTCATTATATTGCAGGATATTTTTATTGCCTAAAGCACAAGGTTATTATCAAAAGTGTGGTAATTGTACTTTAAGTCGGTAGCATTGCTCAAACGAAGGTGTTGTCAGAACAGAGCTTTGGATATCGATGATCCTTTTTAGAAATTTTAATAGAACTCTTTCCAGTATTTCCAAATATCTAAGGATCCAGACAGACAATTAAACATACCCTAAGAACCAGTGATTTAAATAGTTAAATAGCAGAAACCAGTCACTGACAGCAGGATTCTGCGCAATGGATTATTGGGACCGCCAAATTATCTAATGCGCAGAATTCTGGTATCAGTGACAGGTGTTGACAAGTTCGTGATCGTTGTTGGAACAGACCTATTATAGGCAGTAGAAATCCCACACAGCTTGTTGTCATTTCATGAAAAGTCCAAAGGAAGTGAGAATCATCTAAACAAGTGTACTCATTAGTTGAGGAAAGAGATTTTTGTTAATAGAAAAAGGAGCGTTACTTTTTGAAATCCAACTATACAGAAGCGCATCATATTCAACCAATATTTGTTTAAGGACAGCGTCTCCTAGGAATTTCTGAACAAAATTATGTCAATTTAGATTCAATCAAGGAGGTGCTGTTACCTACCGACTAGAGATTGAATTAGTGCAAACTATTACAGAAATCTTTAAGTAACTATAAATATCGACCGACTAGCTATTAGGGGATATTGTATTATATTGTATTATAAACCGGTTTTTAGTAGACTGAGTTTGAAGGATCATAATAATAGTCCTGAACATAAAATCTATTTTTCAATAATTGCCGGGATTTTACCAAATAAAAAAAAAATATTTCGCGATTGTGAAAACGGTCCAATCGTTTCATATGCCATTTATAATATTATAAAAATGTTAACTCTAGGACTTATTTTGGAGTATGAGCATACTTTATTTCAATACTTTTATTCATAAAGTATTACCTACCTATTACATTTTATTTTTAACAAAAATCGACTTTGTTTCCTGGACCAAAGTAAAGAATGTAGGTAGGTATTATGCAGATGGCAACAACAAAAACGATATCTTGCCTCACATTAAATATAAATATTTCCTAAAACAAATAATTTGGTTTATATACGGGTAGCAATACGAGGGATGTTTATAATTTCAAGTCACGAATATAGAGTCGTTTCAAAATATATTGCCACAATAATTGCGTCACATTGAGTCGGAGTGGGACGCTTGACGTGTCGCAATTCGCAATATATTTTAAAACTATTCTACCTAATTAATAAATTGTGATTTTGAAGTATCGAATGAAAACTATATTCTCATTGGTTAAAGATGGAAGTTTTTGTCATTTGAATGTTCAGGAATATTAATTGTGATTAATTGGTTAAATACCGAAGTTATCTGTTATCTGATGTTGGTACTAACCTAATGTTTTTGGGTAATTTTGACGGTCATTTCCTGGAATTTCCAGGCCCGCATAAATATTTATCCTATTAAAGTACAAAAACCCTACAATAGATATAATGAGTAGGTATTTAACATTCATTTATCTTATCTTATCTTAGGTAGTTATTTCCTAGAAACATTTCCCTGATTGTCAATAACACATTACCGTATATCTGTGCCAATATGACGTCACGACTTTTAATATACTTAATGAAGGCTAGGGGAAGGAGTTAAGAGTCTATAAATTTACAAACAAGCTTACGGGTATTTAGTTTTCAAAATTTACATCACACGTTTCTAAAGTGTTTTATTGTGCTGTTTGTTTTTAATAAGTGTTATTTTCTTTAATAGAAAATTGATTTATTTGTGCCAAGTGTCCTAGTGAGTTTCATTGTACATTTTAATCAGTTTTATTTTTGGATAAATTGACATCGACTTCCTGCATTAAAGGTAGGTAGTATTTTTTTTCTATCACTCTCGAGTTCGTCATTGAATAAAAAAATTAAACGCTATAATTTTAACATTCAAATATTTGCAATTAAAAAATAATATTACGTATTAAATTTGACAATAAAAAAACTTGTTATTTAATAATAATGTTTCATTATTCTGAATATATTTTTTCTACGATCAATATCCAAAGTAGGTAGGCTTTTGCACATTAAAATCTAAATAAAAAGTTGACGTTTTCTGCGAATTGTCATAATTTGACATTATTGGCGCACATTACCTAATATTCAAACCCATTTCCATGCTTAAAAATAGAAGATGGTGACATTCATTTAAAAGAAAACCATAACTACTTTTACCAGGTAAAAAATTTCAATATGTTAAAATAATTCATGATTTTTAAGAAATGTGCTAGAAATGATACTACAATATTAATATTCTTTTTATGTTTGATTTTCTAATAATGATTTTATATACTTTTAGATTTAAGGACAGCTAGGTATAGCTCAAAGAAAATTGTGCTACTTTGTAGTATATACTGGAGATGAAAATCCACTATTTGTTGAAAAAATTCATTTTCAACCCATTTTTTTTTTTTTAAATATGGTTGAAAAATTAGAAAAATTTTACTCGGAATATATGGCACCTGAGATAATTTTAAATAGAAGAGGACGAGGATTAAAATGTCTGGATACCCCATATAATGAAACTTAAAGTGCAAAGATTAGCAAATTTATAAAAATTATAATTTAATGGACTTTAATGATACAAGTACTTGAAATAATGGTTTTTTTTTGCGCAGAAGCATGTTCATACGTAATTTGCAATTGGTAATCACTAAACACAGATGGAAAAGTATATACGTCAACGATATGTTCTCTTATTTTTGATTTATTTTAACAGGTATAATATATGGTATGTTACTTATAGTATAGATTTTTTTATTTCTCGACCTTATTTATTTGTTACGTCTTCAGCAATTGTCGCTTTCAGTTGACATAAACGAAATTGATAAAAAATGTTTTTCGCATTTTATTTTGACTGTTTCTCTTACTTTCGAAGAGAAACTGAGCTTTGTAAACATAAAATGACGGATATGTCAAACTAAAACTGACGGTAAAATGAAACATTGAGTATCGTTAAATGCAACTTTTGAACTAGTTTCAAAAATAGCATTAAAATGATATTATCATTCACAATGTACTAATTTCCTATACTTTTAGTTGATAAATAACCGATAATCATACATCATATAACAAATAGGCGCGTTTCAAAAGGTCAGAAAAAAGAGTGCCGATGAAAAAAGGTCATTTCCAATTGTATCATATAAACAGTATCAGAGGCAGTATTATCATCTCGTATATCCCCCGTAAACACACTTAATTTAAACGGAAATAATCAAATACTAGTCAAAATATTATCGATCGGAGCACCATCTTTATTACATTACATGAAGTAATTATTGATTTTTCGGGGTTTATTTAGAGTTAAATTAGACGCCATTTTTGGTCCAAATTCGTTTTGACATGTTTTTTTAAAGAAAGTGACTTATAAATTTCAAATCTACACGTTTTGAAAAATATACAATATTTAAATATTCTGAGTGTACCAAATTCCAAGTAAAGGTTAAACTTAGGTTGTATTACATTTTTTTTTTTATTATTTGTTTGACATCGAGGTTAAAATAATTCTAGACGGCACCTTTGAGATGAAATAAAAGGGGGTTATTTTACATGATTGGTTTTTATTGAAAATAATAAATTTATTAATTTTCAATAGTAAGGTGACCTAAGTTAGACCTTTATTTTTAATTTGGCCAAAAATTAGATTTTTAAATACTACATATTCGGAAAACTGTCGAATTAACTTTTGGTCTACACATACAATTTTAATACACAGGGATACCCCGTCCTTCTGCATAATGTTTTAAAATATTTAGCTTTTTTACAGTAAACTAAATTATCATTTTCATCATCAATATTAATATTTGGAGCATTCTAAAACACTAAGAATTATAGGGGATAGTCCAAGATTGAACAATTTAATATTCAATAAAGAATTATTTATTGCAATCTTCAAAAGTAATATTAGGAATCATAATATAATGCCTCTTTGAAGTATAATATTCCACAGATGAGAATAACGATTAGAACAATAACAGACCTTGAAATGGCTGTGTAGGGTTTAAATGTCACAATCACCATTATGTTTAATGCCCCTTAATTGGAAGGAACTTCACCAGGAATATTCCATGGTGAATTAAAAAATTCGGGAACTAAGGAAGCAAGCATGGAAAGATTTATTATGGTTAAAGATGATTTAAAGAATATAGCTTCATACGAACCAGTTACAACAAAGCCTTACGGAAAGTCAAGTAAAAATCCTGGACGAAACATTGTAAAAAGATAAGAAGTACCTACTCAAGAATTTGCCAGACTCCAGAAAATCTATAAAAAGATAAACAATAAAGAATAAGAAGGGGAAACAAGAACAGGAAATAAAACGGTAAGAGAATTCGTTAGGGTTTATTTCTCAGCATAAAACACACATCGGCCCAATTGCCATTCGACTGAAAGCTCGTAAAGAAGTCAACAGGAAAGTAGCAGACTGCCAAAAATGCGCTAGTTCAATGTGATGTCACTGACATTTAATTCTAACCAAAGTTTTATCAAAAACATCAATTAATTTGACATATACGTTTTTACTGTTTTTATTTTATTTCAAAATATTGTTTACAGGTCATAAAAAAAATAGTTTATCTACTATCTACTTACTTTAGGAATATATTTATAAAAGTAAAAAAAAACGATATAATTTAGGTAAACAAAACGAACAAAACGCACTCAAAAAATCTACTGTCACTTTAATTGTCAGTGGAACCATAATTACATCATCACTGAACTAGCACATAGTAGTAAACCATGACAAACTGAAATGGGCAGTTAATTCATTTGGACAATACAAATCACCGGGAATTGACAAGACTTGCACTATAATGTTACAAAGAGGACCTGATATTTTATACAGAAGAATCTACAGTAGAAGTTATTCAAAAGAGCACAACATCCTTCAACTTATGTCGAAGGTTCTGTGGAAAAAATTTTGGACTACAACCGAAAATGTTCCTATGGCTATATACCAGTCATAATACCGATGATAACCTACGGGTCGGTGGTATGGTGGCTAAAGACTCGGCAAACTAAAGCCATTCGACAGCTCAATAGTATCCAAAAGCAAGCATACCAAAGTACCACGAACGACATGAGAACGACTTCAACAATAGCTATAGACGTCATGCTAAACCTAATACCATTACATATATTCATTCATGGCAAAGCCAGATCTGTCACATACAGACTGTCACCTATAAGCAGTTTGCATGGACGTGACTACACCGAGCTATATTAATAGTTGGAGAACGACCAAATAATGGGAATACATTCAGATGAAATTCTTCCAAATTATAGCTTTCAAAAGCAATATAAAGTAAGTATACCAGACAGGGAACCATTTATGTAGAATTCACCTGGTATATACGACTGCTCCAAAACCCATGAAGGTTCAGGAGTAGGTATATATAATACCAAACCAAAGATAAGAATCTTACTAGGCTTAGATAAACATGCGACAGTATTCCAGGCAGAAATAGCAGCAAAATATCACTGCGCAAAAAAGGTATTAGGAGAGAAGGTAAATAAAAAAACCATTATCATATACTAAGACAGTCAAGCGACTCAGTTCTATACAGTTACACTCGAAACTTGTTTGGGACTCTTTGGAAGCCCTAACAAAGCTGGGTAGTCAAAACAGACTAACTTTAGCCTGAGTACCAGGACACAGAGGACATAAGGGCAACGAACAAGCTAATTTACTAGCCCGAGAAGGCACCTCAAAGGCTCTTATTGGTCCCAGAATCCTTCTGTGGTGTCACATAGATAACACGTATTGTGCTCCTATGAAGGCCCATCAAGACTCAGATTCCTTACACTTGAAGAAGAAAAGCCAAGGGAAACTAGCTACGCCAGAGAACTTCCTAGTCTATGAAGTCTACTACAAAATACCGAATTAGACAAAGTACTCTAAACAACGAGTAAAAATATCCCCAATAGATCTGAAAAGGTCAAGGTGGGGGAGGCCACATGGCCCACAGTATAATATAAAGAAGTCAACAGGGAAAACTAACAGACTGCCGAAAATAGAACAATACAAATCTCCGGGAATTGACAAGACTTGCACTATAATGCTACAAAGAGGACAAGACTCTGTAGTAGACTCAGAAGTAGCCTGGACTTTGGATACATACCAAGAGCGTGGCGAAATATTAGAGAATTTTTTTTACCAAAACCCAGGAAAATCAAAGGAAGAACCAATAAGTCTATTGTCTTTCGCACTAAAGACATAGACACTGCTAGATTAACATAGTAAAGAAGATATATTGGTTCAGAGAAATATAAACATGTATTGAATTAAATATTCTCTTATAATCTACAAAAATTTCAAACCACTTTCATTCTCTAAGTCTAATATGTATGTTATGGACAGTGTTGTAAATTGGGCACTGACGATATTGACCGGACACTAACATCAGCAAAATGCTTAATCAAATAGGATATTTACGAAAATGATCGGCCAATATCGTTAAAGACCGAAATATCATCTTTGACCGTAACAGGTACGTAAACAACAGAGTTCGTGGTAAAAACATTGTCCAAGCTGCCTTTTTTTCAGGCCAAAGCCAGCGCTCTGGCACAAATTTCCTAGTAAAACACCACAACAATCAGTCTATAGGGCAAGCCTATTAAGCAATTTTATCAATAAGTACATACAACTCTTCTAAGAACTGTTCAAGGTTGCTCTAATTTTTTTATTTTTCTACATACCTTCATAAAAATAAAATCTGCCTGTTAGAACGACTACTGGAATGGAAGCTATTGATCCGAAGACTAGTAGATCACTTGCACATGCTCCTGCAGGTTTTGGAAAGTATGGAATGTCTTTATATTTGACTTCAGTGCGTCCTTCTACGATATCCATTACAGGAACTGCAATGTTCAATATTTAACAAATATATGGAGTAGATAATTTCTAAATACTCACGTAAATCGAAACTACATATTAAACCTATTTTAGGTTCTATGTTTACTTCTTTTTTTAGGAATTTTGCCATCTCTTGTACCTTCATATATGATACTCTAAAAAAAATAATGCGATAAAAATTCGTTATACTTATAATTATTATTGATTTACAAAAATCTAGTTAATTCATTCATATTTCTCAGTATGGTATGGCCAGGTTTATAAAATTTTAGAAGATTGTATTGGATTTTGATTTTTTTTTTTTTAATGTTGAACTAAGTAAAATATCTTTCTACTTACCTGTCTTCCATTGTGATCGTCTATGAGTGAAAAATAATGAATATGAAGATGATGGAGGTATTGTTTGGTGATGAGTAATAATTTAAACAGGAATTTGGTGAAAATGAATGGTTTAAATGATGAAATTCAACTAGTATTCATGAATGATGAAAAATCATGTTTGTAATAATGTCATGGACATAGAACATGTTCAATACAAAACTGACAATTCCTTGTCTTTTTCTTTCATAGTTGACCTTAAACCTTGACAGTGCTCTTATAATAAGGACCGGTCTCAGCTCTCAGCTACTTGAGAAAACAGGGTTGTCTTTAGAAAAAATAAAGTCTAAAGATTAATTATTTGGTTTGATAAAAAAGTATAATTTATAATTTAAAATAAAAACTAAATAATAAAAGGTTATTTATACTAATTACATCATTTCTAACTAATTTAGGTTCAAAACTAATTTTAAATATTCTTTTTATACAAAAATGGCCACCGATTTTGATTAAATTTTTTTTTTATACCCAGATGTGGTCACGTATTTAGTACATACATCAGTTCATATCCCATACTACTGTAAAGTTGATACCTCCGTTTTATGGGTACATGAACTTTTAGTACATGATAATATAAACAAAGTAAAAAGTAAATGCACTAAATATATATTATTTAGTCACCAGTAGTGATTGTTTTAATATTTGTCTGTGATATAGTATATTAATTACTTTACGACTGTAAAAAATCAATTTTCTACAAGTTATGTACAATATTTTTCCTAGGAACACAAAATTATTTCATAAGAAATGTAAATTCAGAAAATCAGGCTATAAGATTTAATCAAAATGTGGTTGGTTTTAGATTTGTTTTTTATGCGTTATTGAATAGTTTTTAAAGTGTTTTATGGATGGTGACGTTTATAATTGTGTTTTCACAAAAATTGAACATCTTCTAAATTACTTGTAGATATAATACTATACTTTAGTTTGTTATTATTCCGTCAAAACAATTGCTATACTAAAAGACAACACTTTCATGTCTAATTTATTTAATTCATCTGAGGTAGAATCTAATTTAAATCTATACACTGTCCAAAATGTACAATTTTCCAAGATTATGAATTGGTGGAATAGAGGAGAAATAAAAGAACATTTAAAAAAAGTTTTGGTATTATTTATTTCAGATAAGTAAATAAACAATTTCAATTGGCACACTTCGAAGTTTGAGGTTTAAACAGGTTTGTCCATTGCAACTAAAATATAATTAAAATTATTGTATATTGAAATTAAACATTGAGAATATTTACAAACCTTTAGTTTTTCTAGTTCCTTGACTCCATGGCTGTTTTTCACCAGAAGTAAAAAAGGTATTGATAACCGCAGCAAATACATTAAAACCCAACGCTACATAAAAAAGTATCCTCCATTGATCTCTGTTAGTCTAAAAATTATAAAACATACATATAATTACTACTAAAAATATTTTATATAACCTTATTTAACATTGGTCGTAACTTACATCATCTGTAAGCACAAATTGCGCCAAAGTAGGTGACATAGAAGAAAACAGTACGGATGTACCATTAGCGATACCCATCATTATACCGGAAAAGTTTGGAGCCAGATCGCTATGGTTAGCGATGTGTCCAGATTTTCCAGTTCCGGGCATTCCGCTTATTAGGATTATTAGAAATATAACTAAAGTTCTATCCGATGGGCCAGTGTTACCTAGTAGGTACAGAGCTATACCTGGTATAATAAGACCTAAAAAATAAATACTTAATAAAACCATTAATTTGGCAGAAAGAAAATGAAGATTAGTTAGCAGTTAAAATTATAAGTAGTATGTTTTTCATATTCCATTACTAAAAATGAAATTAAAACTAAACTGTCAACAGTATTTGAGGGATTTTGATGCCTAAAATGGTTGAATTCAGGCGTTTCGTTAAGTGACAAATGATCTACCATTTGTTCTACAAAGTAGCAATCAAATATCAAATTCCATTTGGAGATTCTCCTATTGAAAGGTGATTTAACAAAAAGGTTACGCCAATGATCGAGGAAAATCCGACTTGAAAGAATTAGGTCAAATGTAATAAATAATCCTAAGCTTTGTCTTGAAATAGATAAATACAAAATAAAATTAGTTTCTGAATAAAGCTTTACCATATAATTGTTTCTTATAAATACATTTACATTCCTAAGAATGCACCCGTTCTTGTTCTTCAAATAGCCATATTGCAAAAGAACTTTTTGCTTACAATCGCTTTTTTATAAGTTCTTGGAGATTATTAAAAATTATTTAATTTAGGCTAAGTGAATATCAATGACGATAAACTTACCACAATTATTCATTATCTTCCTAATATTAGTTGTTGATAATATGTTTCTTGTAGACAAAAAATCAGCAATAAAAGATACTACGATAGCCAGAACGATCTCAAATATATACGGCAGAGATGATAACAAGCTGCTCTAAAAAACATATAGCAATATAAACAAATATATATAAATATAAACAAATATAGACAAATATGGACAAATGTAAACAAATACAGACAAATATTAAAAAATATAGACAAATATGGACAAATGTAGACAAACATAGGCAAATGTAAACAACTGTAGAAAAATATAGATAGATATAGACAAATATAGAAAAATATAGAAAAATATAGAAAAATATAGAAAAATATAGAAAAATATAGAAAAATATAGAAAAATATAGAAAAATATAGAAAAATATAGAAAAATATAGAAAAATATAGAAAAATATAGAAAAATATAGAAAAATATAGAAAAATAGAAAAATATAGAAAAATATAGAAAAATATAGAAAAATATAGAAAAATATAGAAAAATATAGAAAAATATAGAAAAATATAGAAAAATATAGAAAAATATAGAAAAATATAGAAAAATATAGAAAAATATAGAAAAATATAGAAAAATATAGAAAAATATAGAAAAATATAGAAAAATATAGAAAAATATAGAAAAATATAGAAAAATATAGAAAAATATAGAAAAATATAGAAAAATATAGAAAAATATAGAAAAATATAGAAAAATATAGAAAAATATAGAAAAATATAGAAAAATATAGAAAAATATAGAAAAATATAGAAAAATATAGAAAAATATAGAAAAATATAGAAAAATATAGAAAAATATAGAAAAATATAGAAAAATATAGAAAAATATAGAAAAATATAGAAAAATATAGAAAAATATAGAAAAATATAGAAAAATATAGAAAAATATAGAAAAATATAGAAAAATATAGAAAAATATAGAAAAATATAGAAAAATATAGAAAAATATAGAAAAATATAGAAAAATATAGAAAAATATAGAAAAATATAGAAAAATATAGAAAAATATAGAAAAAATATAGAAAAATATAGAAAAATATAGAAAAATATAGAAAAAATATAGAAAAATATAGAAAAATATAGAAAAATATAGAAAAATATAGAAAAATATAGAAAAATATAGAAAAATATAGAAAAATATAGAAAAATATAAAAAAAAATAGAAAAATATAGAAAAATATAGAAAAATATAGAAAAATATAGAAAAATATAGAAAAATATAGAAAAATATAGAAAAATATAAAAAAATATAGAAAAATATAGAAAAAATATAGAAAAATATAGAAAAATATAAAAAAATATAGAAAAATATAGAAAAATATAGAAAAATATAGAAAAATATAGAAAAATATAGAAAAATATAGAAAAATATAGAAAAATATAGAAAAATATAGAAAAATATAGAAAAATATAGAAAAATATAGAAAAATATAGAAAAATATAGAAAAATATAAAAAAATATAGAAAAATATAGAAAAATATAGAAAAATATAGAAAAATATAGAAAAATTTAAAAAAATATAAATAAATATAGACTAATCTAGAGACATATGGACAAAAATATAGATAAATATTGATATAGAAATTCCTGACGTCATCAAATTTATGATCTAAATTGAACGATACTGGGGGTGGTGAAGTGTCTTGAAATCAAAATTCAAGTAAAAAACAAAAGGTCGGGGTTTTTGTTGATTATGAAGAAATGTCATATAAAAAAATTAGATTGTCAAGAATTGTAAGAGTTGTTACGTATTTTGGATTATGGTAGGATTTTTAATTATGTTGGAAATATTGTTAGTTTTGATTGGGAAACTGTAAGAATAAAATAACAAACAAATATAGACAAATATAGACAAATATAGATAAATATAGACAAATATAGATAAATATAGACAAATATGAACCAATACCCGATCTTCCTGATTTTACATTTTTGTTTGTGGTAATCTTGTCTTGTGGTCGTAAAACAAATAAGGTTATATACTACCGTTTGAAAGGTAAACTTATTAGGGATATTTTGTAAAATTAATCTTAAAAATTATTTTAAATATGTTAAAAACAGACAAGCCTAATAAAAGGGTACAACAACCTTCTTAAATAAGGCATTAATAAACCAAATTTTATTATTTTGAAATGGTAACTTAGTGCTATTTGCTCCGGCTTGCTTAATAACCATTTTGAATAATGTCCCTTGAGAAAATTACTTATTTTTAACTTGTTGTACCCCCAGAAATATATACTTACAGACTTTAAATCAAAATGCATAATCTTGTCCAAATATATTGCTGTCTCAGTTATCAAAGTCCAGTGGGTGTAGTTAAATGCAAGGTTGGTAACACATAATGACAAAAATGGTGGAGAAGTGAGTATTTGCTTAAACGGCACTTTTAATTCATGCTGAAAATTTAAAATAATGAATTAAATTTTTGATAATTTATATTCATTCAAACAGGCTTAGTAGCCAAATTAGATAGATACCATATAATATATGGGGGATATGCGGACATAACGGGATAGGTGCTTTAAACGGGGTACCCCATGGTAGCAGTTTTCCTTGTAAAAATTGGTAACAAGAACGTTTTGGTAAACTTGTTAAACCACAGCTTACTATACAATGCAGGTATTTTTACCACATTATGGTAAGCTGTGGTTACACTATAATTCGGCATAGTCGGTAAAGTAGAACACTACTAATTAGTAGGTACTGAATTCAATATATATTGGAAAATGATCTTTTGTTGCTTGTCCCATTTGAATTTAGACAATGTTTGACGATGCAAGAGTGAGATGCACTGTTGATTTATTTTCCTCAGATCTACTATCTTTGGTTGGAGATCTATCAATTAATACAATAACAATATCACTGCTTGAACAAGCCGTTGATCATCAGTTCGATTGAGTGCAGAACCCCATAGGGTTTGGTGACAATTAAAGTCCCACGAAAAAGAGATCTTCTTTCTGATTGTAAATACCACACATTATTTCTTTATTGTGTACTGAAATGCGGAAAACAGTATTACAGTTTCATGAGTATTTGATTAAATATAAAAAGGAGTTTAACAACTCCCTTCCTCAATCTTTGTTTGCTTCTATTGAAAGAAGAGAAATCGACAAACTGGCTTGTAATTGGATCAAAAGCATGCTGGCAAACCGGAACATTCCTGCAGGGAAAGACAGTCACTTTCTGACCTGCCATAGGGTGTCTACAAGGCGGAATACTTTCTTCCCTACTGTGGACCATTCAAGTGAATAACCTGACAGTCTCTCTTGGCAGGGGTACATTTTTAATGCTACGAGGATGATCTGGTTATCATATTTAGGAGAAAGTTTCAAGAAGTAATCTCCAACATCCTTCAACAAACCCTAAATACCAATAACAGATGGCAAGAGAGTGAGCAGATGTCTGTTAATCCCCGTAAAACTGTTACACGTCCCCTTCACCAAAAAAAAAGTTCGAAAATCTTCGAGAACCTACCTCAGCTGGAGAAACCATTCATTTTTAGGATGAGGTGAAATATCTAGGGATCATCCTGTTAAGTAACTCACCTGGAACCTCCAACAAGCATAAAATCTTCAACAAAGCCAGATTATCCCTCTGGACCCTCAGAAGGATTTGTGGCCAAGCATGGGGATCAGTTTTTAACTGATTTTCTGGATTTATCAAACAATAGTAAAACCTATTGTAAGTACGGTCGCAGTGAAAGGCGATGAGATCATCATACTCACTTTCAACCTAACCTATGAGTATTTAGTGCAACAAACCAGGATGTGGGTTACAGGTTTCCTCTAAAATGGGATGATTTTTTTAATGTATTCCTTAATCTTATCCTTATTGTTTAAAGACACTTACATAAAAAAATGAATTAATTAACTATTTACTCTCTACGCAACTCCACTTTAATGGTAATTTTTCACGGCAAATAATATGAAAACAAATATTTCTCTGAACAAAAATATTTATCATGGGATTAAGTATAATACCTACTTACCCTATTGTCTTCTATTTTTAGATTCGTTTTTATATACAATTTTTCTTCTTCTGTTATTGTTGAATGTTCGGAGGGATCACTGCAACCCACATAAGCGTAAATGCCTACCACAATGAATGCTAAACCACTGCATAGATAAAAAGCGAACGGCCAACCATATGGAGAAGCACATACATATCCAGTCAATATCATTGAGGTTACTATTCCCAGCGGAGCTCCTGAAAGAAGAGGGGTGTTAAAACAGAACCAATCAGGTGGTTTACAATATTTACGAAGAAGCTAAAATAGATATGCAGTAAAATTAATAGTAACTAAATTAGCCTGGAGGAAACCAGTTGCCTAAAAGAGGAAAGAAAGACCTAGGAAAAGTAAGAGGTAAGCTGCTCTAAAAAATAAAGGAATTGAAGAGTATAGCCAAAAACAGAAATATATTGAAACAGATAAATAGCTTGTCAGAAGTTAAATATACAATTTTTGTAGTCTTTAAAGTTAGAACTGTTTTCCCAGAATTTAGTTTCTCCAAAACTACTATTAATCTGTTATTTCAATATCAAATTAATTTATTTTCACCTGAGAATACAATAGACCCGATCCTACTTCTCTCGTTCGATGGGATCCATTTCCCCAGTATGGAAGCCATGCAGGGAAACAAAAATCCTTGAGTTAAACCTTGCAGAATCCTGCATACCATTACGCCCTTCGATCCAAACATAGCTGCAGAAATTGGTATTAAAAGACCAGCTATTGCTGTAAGTGAAGTAGTGCATACCATGAACCATTTAGCACCGTATCGGTCTGATACGTAACCGGCAAGATATTGGGGGACGAAATATCCCCAAAGAAATGAGGCCAGCACTAAGTTTTTGTCTGACCATTGGTATGTCTAAAATAATAAAATAGTTATTTTAATCAAAACAAAGATAGCAACATTTTAAGAATGAGTTTTTCGATAAGAGAAAAGAAGGAAAAGAAAAGGAAAGTAAAAAGAAAAAAGGATAAGAAAAAAGAAAAAAATTAAAATATAAAAGAAGAAAATAAAAAAAATTGTTTTGTTTTTACTTTGTGGTTGTATAAATGGATACCTTGATGTTGTGTAAGAAATTGGGTTTCACATTTCCAAATCAATACTTACAGGTATGTCTTTATTGGGATTAGCTGAAGGAGTCGTCATAGCTACGATACTGACACTCAATATGGTTCTTATAGTGAATCCCGTTATCATCATTAACGTTAGGACAATAGCCTGGATATGTCTTTTGCCAAATGTCGGTCCTAAAAATATTTTTTTACAGTTACAGATCAGGTTAGTAAAAAAAAATATAAATTTTAATTTGAAACATGTTTTAATGGTTTCTTTTATAGCAGTGACAGTCATATCCCTTCGAAAAGAGGAGCTATAAGAACTAGGTTATATTGACCCAGTCTAAATAAAAAGCTGGTTGGCATTTAATTATTTATTAACTCCAAAATTTTAATTTTGCATGGAGAATATTTAAAAAGATATTCACAAAAACTACAGCCGATTCTGTTCAGTTTTTTTCAAGTACATAATTTGGAAATAGACTATAAATTTATAGACTTTAATTTATGATTTTGAAAAATCCAAGTCAATGTTATTTTGTTATGTGATTTAATATATTTCATGTTAAATATTTTATTTAATCTAGTTGCTTTATAGCTACTTACCATTATTAGTTTTTTTGACTTGAGGATCCAGGAGAGCATCCAGACTTTTTTCGTTAACTGTTTCAGTAGTAGCCATTTTTTAATTTTTTATTGCAGGAAATTTCCTTCTTTTTTAAAAACAAAAAATTCTGCAATACATTACATTACAGTACAGGTTTTACTACAATTACCGAAAATAATTTGAATAAGCAAAGTTTATCAATTTTAATATAGAAATAAGGATTAAAAACAAACAAAATATGAAGGTTTACTTGTCAACGAAAAAGTGTATCTATTGTATTTAAAAGTTTTCCAAGTATACTTTAGATTATAAAAACCATATGTAATCGTTCATCAACTTAGAATTCAAATCCTCTCCTAATTTTAACAGAAGATATTTTTGCAAATACATTTAAACAAATATAACGAATGTTTTATCGTAAATCCTAAATATATAAATACTAGAAAAATAATCTTGAATATTTTTTTTTAATAATAATAAACACCTTTCAGGTATTTAAGAAAATATCTTCCTAAGAAACTCATTATAAAACTTACCCTCATAGAATGTGAGTGTCATGTGAGACCTATGTATCTGTTTTTTGTCAGTCATATTTAATCTTTTTGTAAAATACTAATAAAAATATTAAAAGCAATAATTAAAAACCGCAACTCTGGATCAGGGGTCCATCTCTCTCAATTAGGGTGTGACCTGGTCCATAGAATTACAGGGTGGCACAAAATTGATTGAAAACATTTGATCGAATGCATTTGATCGAAAAAACATTTTATCGAAAAGAAAAATGATCGAACAGAAAATGATCGAAAAGAAAATTGATCAAAAATAGATTTGATAGAAAAAGCTATTAATCGAAAAACCTAATATTCATAAAATTATAGAAAAATAAGAAAAATTAAAACAAAATTTTTAACTAATTTACCTAACCTGTGTGGACTAGAAACATCGCTGGTGCTTCGCTGGTGCTTCGCAAGGACAAAAAATAAAAAAATTAAATAATCTTAGGTAACGTACCTAACTTACCTAACTTGTGCGAGACCAATCAGTTAAATTTGAATAGCACAGGCTAGGTAAATTAGTTTTTTATTTTTATAATTTTTTTGCGAGGCAAACCGTGATGTTTCCAGACTGAAGCATTTTAACTGATTGCTTTGATAAAGGTTAGATAAGTTAGTTAAGTTTTTTAAAAATAAATAAAAATAAAGAAAACCTAACTAATTTACCTAACCTGTGCGGCCTGGAGCAATTTAACTGTTTGCTCTAACAGATTTTTTTAAAAAACCTAACTAACTTACCTAACCTCTGTTTCAGTTAAATTGCTCCAGGCCGTACAGGTTAGGTAAATAAGTTAAAGTTTTTGTTTTTAGTTTTCTTATTTTTCTATACTTTTTTGCAAGGATAACCGCGTAGGATCCAGACCGCACAGGTTGGGTAAATTATTTAAATTTTTTATGATAAAAAAACTAAACTAACTTACCTAACATACGCGAGACCAATTAGTTAAATTTAAATAGCGCAGGTTAGGTAAATTAGTTAAAAATTTTGTTTGATTTTTTCTTATTTTTCTATAATTTTTTTTGCGAGACAAACCGCGACAGCTCCAGGTCGTACAGGTTATGTAAATTAATTTAATTTTTTATATAAAAAAACTTAAAATAATTTACCCAAAATGTCCCATTGGGAGACCACTCGACCTTATTGAAATACATATTTTGTGCGAATTAACCACATTTCTTTAATCCCAATGAAGATAAATAACCGTTTAGCTCTAAAATAATTATTTTTAAAGTAACAGTATTTATTGTAAGGATAAACTTTGTTAAACGAGGTAGCTATCATTTGAGATTATTGAAAAATTTGCCATTAGTACTTAATTTTAATTAAGTTTAGTTTCCCTGGTAGTAGGGATTAGACGGACGGTTGAATGGTATCATTTGATTTTTTGATATTTTACTATTTTTAATGTTGATTTTCGATATATTGTCCTTTCAATCTAATGAATTTTCGATCTATTGTCTTTTTGATAAAATGTTATTCGATCAAATGTATTTTCGATCAAATGCCATTCGATAAAATGTATTTTCTATCAAATTTCCAATTCGATCAAATGTTTTTCGATCAATTTTGTGCCACCCAGAATTACTATGCAAAAAAACTTCTTAGATGTAACATACTTTTCATAAAGGACACAAAAGTCTAAAAAATAAAATGTTTCTTCCTCGAGGGCACTTAGAGATTTTGAAATCATACATATCAAATAAATAATTTAGAGTAAACCAGGATGTGATATTTACTCTGATATAATGTTAATTAAAGCGAGAATCTCACAAGGAAGTGTATTAGATCCGGACCTCTACCTCTTATATACCAGTTGTTTTCCTAAAATAGAGAAAATACGGTTAACTTGCAGATTATACAGACATTTTAGCTGAAGAAATTAGTAACTAAATCTTTGTCATTTTAATCGTTAAACAAAAACAGAGATGCATGGAGATCCTACTCCGAAGAGATCGAAGTTTTTCCGCAGGAAGCGAGGCTTCAAAAAGCTCTCTTAAGAGATCCACACCGCAGTATTGCTGCGCTAATCAAAGAGGATGGTATGATAACTGCAATCCTTGACAGTGGCATCAAACTTCTAGTGTGAACACTGTCCTGACTCGGTCATTACAGACATGGTCGACTGGACAGAAGAAGAATACAACCCATCTGTCTACGATTGGCAAACTGCCAAACACACTGTAGATGATGACAAAATTAGATGGGCGATACCGCACATCAGGTGACATTATTTTTTTTGTAAATATAAGTTGTTATTGATACCTGCGTTTCTTTTAACCGTTTTCTTTCAGGGTACGTAGGATACGTGGTATAAGGAAGATAAGTGTCTTCATCTTGATTTGGTGGCTACTTCGTCAGCAGTGACTGCCTATTGGTATTTTTACTCCTCTGAGTTTATCTTGAGTACATTCTGGTGTACTACAGGGTCGCAGAGCAAACTGTGTTACCAAAACTGGCGCCCGAGCACCTTCTTAGAGCCTGATTTACTGTAGGTAAAGCCAGAAGCCTTTTACAAATGAGAGGGCATACGAGAAGTTCCACAGCAATTTATCAAAAAAAGATGAAAAGTAAGAAAACGATGAAACAAGGTGAACTTCTCGTATGCCCTTCTAACCTAACCTTTATTCAGGTGAACGCATGTCGCAACGACGATTACATTACGCAAATTTGTACTACTGCGCTTGCGCAAAAATCTTGGTGGTGGGGTTAAAGAATTATTTGTTTAAAGTATTGAGACATTAAAGACTCTTCCAGTCTACTGAGACATTTTCTAAGAGTAGCTTCTCTAAAAATAACAAAAAAATGTCCTCATTGTCAAAAACTGATTATTTAACTTTCTTGAATCCAAATGAAATTAACGCTTTGTCGCCACAGGGAATGGCACAAGATTACGAAGAATTGTCCAAAGAATGGTATCATTTAATATTAAATGAAAAGGAAATTTACTTGCTTGTGCTCCAAATATTAAATGGTATTCTATTTGCCGATGTCATCTAATAGCAGACGATGGTAGTACAACACATAAACATCTTCACGCTTTAATACATTTTACTAATGGATTTACAATGTTAGCCTACAAGAAAAAACTACAGCGCACTGGTACACGACTCCATTCAAAAACAACTTTCAGGAAAATAATTTGCTTGGACCATGCTGTTGGTGTCCTCAGATACATCACCTGCGCTGATGGACAAAAGCCGCTTAGAAGGGATGGAGATGGTCTTAGAGGTACACCTTATTCTCATTACGATAGAAGAGTATTCAAACAAGATTGGTTACATTCCCGAGGAAAACAGTGTTCCTTAGTACGCACAGAAATTTTAGAATTAGCGTCTGAAGGTGTAAAAGACTTAGAAAACTACACATCTAAACACGAACTTCATGATAAATCCACATGTAGATGTGATAGAGGTGCCGAAGGAATAAGGCGGAGGGAAGAAGCTAACGAGAAACGGAGACAATTTTACAAAACAGAACGGGGAATTGAAATTAGGAATAATTACAAAGAAAAGCAAATTAAGAAAAAGAAACTAATTACAAGTTTACTGAAAATGGGCCTAAATAAAAAAGCTGAGCTTCAAAGAGAGACAATTTTGAAACTTATTGAGTTACTGTAAATATTTAATACTGTTACTTTAAAAATATAATTTAAAAAAAAATGTATTTTATTTTCATTGTCCAATGTTGACTTTACCTATTTGTCCTATTTTTACTTAAATGTCCATACCAGCACTCTACTGTCCAAAGTGAACTACACGTTTTCCATTTAAAAAGCATTGGTGTCCAAGATCCTCTTCCTTATCTCTCTTATCAGTGGTCGGAAAATGGTATAGTTTATCTACTTAAAACTATAGAATACCAAAGTATAGTTGAACCCTATATTGGATATGGTAGGTATTTTAAGAAGCAGTGGTATTGGTGGAATTCACCAGATTCTCCTGAAATTCTTTAAAGAAAACGTTTAGGGATTATTTCAAATATAGTTGCCTCATGTATAAAGATTTAAATATTTGATTGTCATCAGCTTTTCTTTCTACAAACATTTATTCTTTCAAAACTGGAACACATAATTACTGTACAAAACAAGGAGAACTTTTTATGACCAAGATAGGACAAAGAAGCTTTAAGCACCTACCTCTTTTATATTGATATGTATTGTTGTGTTATGTCTCATAATGGAGAGTAAGAAAAATGTCTCTACAGTAAAAAAATGTTTTTAATAATCACATTAAAGTTACAAAATGTGTATCGACGCCACTTTCAGTCTTGGTCATTGAAATAAAAATATTTCAGTTTGGACACCTTTTTATTGAAATCCATAAATCTTAGGTTTCACAGAAACCACAAGAAACCACAATCTATATTTTTCTTCCTATGCTTTTAGCGGCACTTGTTGGTAGTTTTCTGAAAATACAAACCAAATAAATCACTCAATTAACAATACTTCACAAACGTATTATTTAATAGCAGATTTAATTCAATTTAAGTTTATGAACTATTTTGATTTTAATAAATTAACTTTTCAACTTTTTTTACGAATTTTGATTAAATATCATATTAAAAACTATACATAGACATAAGTAATCCTATTTTGCTTCTTTTACTAATTTTTTTATCCTGTTTTATAAATAGCGCTTTTCCTCTTTATTACTAGGAGATTGATTGTAGGTTTTTTTGTTCCTATCATCTTAATTATTATCTCTGTTGGTTACTCTGATGTTCCCCTTCCTTCCCTTCCCCTCTTTTTGTCACGATATAAGCCTTCAATCCTTACATATGCCTTTTCTTCCCCTTTAGCCTCCCCCACCCCTCCTTTTTCTTATTTATTACTTCTCTCCCCCTTAGGCACCCCCTCCCACAAAATCCACATTTTAATTTTGAACCTAATGAAGTAAAGCCTAATTTTAATTATATTTTTGTTCGTTCATTTAGAAATATCATACCTCTAAATCTTTTGTTGCCTTCATTCCATAATTGTACGGAGCCAGATCCAAAGATAATTCCGAATACCAAACAAACTATAGACACAGCAGCAGCGATGTAAAATACTAATTTCCATTGACTGGTATCCTCCTAAGTTTCATAATTTTATTTTAATATTTTACATTAATAAATTATTATTAGAAATAAGTAATTAAAAAACTATCTTGGAATCAAGAAATTCGTCAAATATTCTTAGTAGAAAAAAGGAAAGAAAAATCTTCAATTACTTCCGCTTATGTTTAAAAAAGTGTTTGTTTTTCAGTAATTTTCATTAATTTGTAGTGTCAGATATTAAAAATATTTAATTTATTATTATTATAAATATTTGATTGGAATTAAACATAATTAGTTTTATTTTTAACAAAAAATGTGACTGTAGAAAAACTGTAGTGTGTAACACGTGCATAAATGTTATTTCTGCACTTGTTGAGGGCGGCTATTTTTAACAAAATCAAAATATATGAAATATGCGACATATAACAGGCGGAGGAATCGTCTTAGGCCTTAACAGTGTACAATTATTAAGGTATGTTTTTAATTATATGTTGATATATTGTTTGGTAAAAAAATTTTAACTGTTGAATAAAATGTTTGAAACTTAAAGAAACAGCTTCTATCTATTGTCATGCAACTATTGTGATGCTAAATATGTTGGTCAAACTGGAAAGTCAGAAACTGTTAATTGATCTGCTTTTTAGATGTACGTGAAGTAAAATTTTTCTTTTCTTTTTTCTACTATGTATATCTTGGATTCGTCTAGATCTAGAAGATAGACTTACTTCGTTTGTTACTACAACATATACAACCATTGGTCCTAGTGAACTGACTGCTGCACTTAGACCATTACAGATTCCCATTAATACTCCTGCAAAGTTGGGAGACAGATCTATTTGGTTAACGTTGTAGCCACTCTTTACTGCTCCAGATGCGACCCCGATCAGAACAAGGTAGATGATTGCTTTGTGTGCATCGTCTGAGTTGCATTGGGCCAGTAGAAACATGAAAATAGCGGGTAACAGCAAACCTATAAAAATAATTTAAATAGTAAATTAAACCTATGCAATGGGAACCACTATAGAACTACTTTAGATCTATTTCTCGAAGTCCATATTTTTCTAGCTTGCTCATCAATATTTTTTGATTTACGTAGTCAAAAACTTTGGCTAAATCTCAAAACACTACAGTAGCTACTCTGTTATCATTTAAATTGAGGTATAATTTTTGTAGAACATCTATCTACATCACAATTTGGGATACGAAAGGCCATCTACATCCCAGTTTGTGATGAAGATAGTTAGAATGACAATAATGATCGCAACCCTTGTACACAGGTAAAATATTGGCTATTTTTAAAGAATTACTGAAAGAATCTGTCCTAAATACAAGATTGATTGATTCTGTTAAAACATTTAATGCATTTTCTGGAAGATATGAAAGAAGATTACCTGAAATGTCATCTAAAACTGAAGAATTATTTTTTGTGATAGAAGAGAAGTTATCCTTAATGTCTACATCAGTTGGTATAAAATAAAATGAATCGTTAATATTTGGATTATTTTAAAAAATCGTTGATTTAAGTATTGCTTAGACTGGTGAAATGGTTAAGACTAGTGGTCGCCAACCTCTCAATCTATTGAGCTACTTTGTTAATTTTGGAATAAACAGCGAGCTACCCACACGGAAGCCACGTAACGCAACGTAACTGAAATAATTCACAGTTAATTTATCATTATATGTATTTATTTTACTATTTAACTGGTAATACATAATACATAGGGGGGCGTCCATTAATTACGTGAGGTATGGCGAGGTATGGCGAGATTTGGTAAGATTTTCCTTAACTCCCTCCCCCCTTTCCCTAATCTCGCGTGAGATTTTTCAAAATTCGTGTTTTGGGTGTAAATGTGTTGGATTATTAAAAAAAAAAACAAAAACACAATATGTTCCATTACTTTTATTTAAGACTAGCAAAGACTAGTGTTTGAGAGTGTTGCAATTATTTAAAATTACATTAATAAAATTAAATGATAAATACTTAAATGGAAATTAATAAAAAATAAATAAACATAAATATAAGATTTTTCCATATTTTATTCTAGAAATACTTTTACTATAATTTAAATTTACTTTCACGCAATTTTACACCGTTTTCTACTAGAAAAAAAATTACGTGAGATTTACGAAAACCCCCCTCCCCCCCAAGTGAGATTTAGAAAGATTTAGTTTTATCCGCTCCCCCCCTTGAACACCTCACGTAATTAATGGACGCCCCCTAGGTACTAATAATAAACTAATAACAAAATAACTAATATTACTAGTACGTACTTGTTCATAGCTACATTCCTACCTACCAAACAAAGGTGTTTGAAAAATAAAAACAAACTTTTATCCAGCCACAACGGCATATGTCACGTAAGATTTAAAAATAGTTAATAATAACAACAAAAAAGTAACGCACTATCATGAACATAAACATTGAAAAATAAAAAATACAGCCATTCGAATACAATTATCCAAATGTTCATCTGTAAGTCGATTGCGATATTTGTTCTTAATAAACTTCATATTGGAAAAAGAAGATTCACACAAATAGGTTGAACTGATTAATGCTTTCACTTTCAAGGCAACACGGCATAGAACTGAATATTTGTCTTTACTTGCAATAGGCCAGATACATTTGGTACTTGAGACTAACGATTTTAAGGCTAAATCATTTTGAAACTCAATTACTTCCATTTCTGTTGCAGCTATGTCTTCGCCAAAGTTCTGCATAACACAAGTTGCAAACTATTGGATATCAATTTCCATAAAGGGTGAAACAACAAACTGCGCTACTAAAGCCATTTCGTTGAAATCCTTAAAACGATTTTTGAAGTTATTCTTCAGGGTAGAAACTATTTCTACATGATATTTGCTGTCATAGGGTTCTAATGGATTTTGAGATATTTTTTTCTGAACGAATGGGAAAATGCTTGGCATTGCTGTTAATTAGGTTTTGTTCCCAAAACTCCAGCTTTTTGATAAATGCTTTTATATCAGAAATCATTTCCGCTAGTTCTTTGTCTTTCCCCTGAAGCTGCAAATTAAGTTCTTTTAATTTCTCTGTAATGTCCACGAGAAAACCAAAATCTCTAAGCCAGATTGAATTTTCTAGTTCCGGAGTCGGTTCATCGCGTTGTTTGAAAAATTGAACTATGCCAGACAGGACATCATTAAAACGTTTCAGCATCCGTCCTCTACTTAACCATCGAACTTCAGAGTGAAGGAGTAGGTCCCCGTATTGACAGTCAACTTCATCGGCCAAGATTTTGAATAATCTTCTTTGTAACGCTTGAGCTCTAATCTTATTCACAATTTTTACCACCAGTTTCATAACGTTGTTTAGTTTCAGGAAATTTCCACATAATCCTTGCTGATGGATAATGCAGTGGTAACAGGGAAATTGCGGAAAAGTTTCATCTTTACGACATAACGCCACCAGACCCTTATCACAACCCACCATAGCTGGAGCGCCATCGGTTGTCAAACCTACCATTTTCGATATTGGAATTTTCTCGGAAGAAATAATATTTTTTAAATGAGAAAACAACTCCTGTCCAGTAGTGTGTCCTTTCAGTGGAATAAACTTCAAAAGGTCTTCTTTAATCGTAAAATCACTAAAAACCATCCTGACGAACACGGCCATCTGGGCAGTGTCAACGACATCTGTCGATTCATCCAGTTGAAGTGAAAAATAAACACAGTTATCTAATAGCGGATTCGACTGGCTGCATTAATGCGCATTTAGTTCGACTTTTTTAAGTGTTGTCTGTTCGACTGACAAAACATAATTAATTAAAAGTCAATTATTGCATTCGACTCAAATTGCTTGGTACCAAGGCATAGTCAAATTTTTGTTCGACTGGCTGGCGCTCTTGCTCAAAGTTCGAATTTTTTGGAACAGCTACCCGATTCTGATTGACGTTTTCGGGACGTGATGTCCCGAGTTTACAATTTGAGCGATTCTAATTCCAACTTACGTTCCAGATGTCTCGAGTATAGCTGTCAGATTCACTCGGGACCTAAAGAAGTAGCGTAACGTGAGTGAAATTAGTAAAAGTATGGTTAAGAAATGCTTTATTTTGATATTTTTGTGTTGAAATTAAAAAAATGAGTTTTTTAAATAATCCAGAACATTTGACTACAATTTTAAATATAATGTGTGAACACGAACATTTTGCAAGTGGCATATTTTTAATTATTCCTCATTGTATTTTTTTTTGTAGGAGTTAAAATAAAACATTTTAACCACATTATAAAAAAATTAGTAAACTCAAAAACAATATTTTTTCCTAATATTACAGAAGAAAACCAAATACAGCATACATTAATTTATTTAGGAAATATAATTTATTATTTATATAATTTTTTTTTTATTTAATACTGAATATATACAGAACAGGCTCAATTTATAATACAAGCAGTTATACAATACTATAAATAAGAAATGTTTAAAGTTCAGAAATATAAAATGCCAGGAACTCAAAAATGAGGACAAAAACACTTCAAGATATAGATGTAATACCAATCATATAAAACATTGACTACTGGAACACTGACAATAAAGCATTAAAATATCTATTTAGGTACAATACCTATTATTTCTTATTTTATTAATTCTAAAAACTCAATAAGCCATGCCTCTGGTATATTTTCTAAATTAAACCTTCAAAACAAACCATGCTGCACCATGCGTTATCGTAGTTTTCGTAGCCGTTACTCGAGAGATGATTAGAATCAAATTTTAAACGGTACCGAAAAGGGGACGTAACGTAACAACTAATCAGAATCGCACTGCTGTACTTTTTTTCAGTGCCAGTGTCATTTTGGAGGTTAGGAATTATTTAATATTTTTAAATATATTACCATCTCTGTTTTTATTATTAGTGAGAATGGAAAATCTTTGAAATTAATAGAGATTTAATTTTTAGTTAGGCAACTATAAATAAATATCGTTAAAAATTTGTTATAAACCTGAAATGTCAAGTGCTAACTGTGCCAGTCGAATAACGATAAAGATGCGCTACACCAATGTCGAACTCTAGCTCGTACTTACTTTGTGCACTGCTAGATATAAATTTGAATTATAAAAATGCTGCCCAAAATCAATTCAGAACTAAAAGCGCTTTGACATCGAGCAAGAGCATTTGAGTCGAATCCGCTATAAGTCAGTTCTTAACTGTAAAAAAATATCATTGCGCATTACTTCTACACGTCTCATCACTGTATTAGCAGAAAGTTGCATAGATTTTATAGCTGAAACTATCTCGTCTTTATTTCTAAAGTTAGCAAATAACGAATCAGCAGCTTCTAAAAACGCCTGTTTTATCATTTCCCCGTCTTCATAAGGTTTCTTTTTTTGTGCAATTATCTGGGACACACGGTACGATGCTTCAGTTGCAGCCTTATTTTTGTCGACTGTTCTTAAAAATTTTGATTGTTGTCCAATTCTTCTTCTTTTTTCTTTATTTGGGCTTAACTCTTCTGAATTATTTACCCAGCACCATTTGTAAATGTTATTTGTTTATGGAACAAGCTGCGCTCTCACGCATCTGTCTCTAAGACAACACTTCTTCCAGAGTTCTGAAACAATTCAAATTATAATATTGCATTCCTTCAGGAATTTACACAAAAGCGAAGCACTAAAAGCAGAGGGATTTCTAAGCATATCTTCTACACATAAAGCCATTTCACTTTTCATGCAATTTTTAAGCATTAGTTCGTATAACCTATCACAACTAAGTTGATTATTGGAGCATTCCAACAGGATATGTCGGATACTACCTATTTTACCACAACTGCAATTTGGAGAGTCATAGATTCCTATTCGATGGAGGTGTTCTGGTGTAGCACAATGTCCTAACCTTAGTCTATTTACTGTCGTAGCTGTGTTTCTGCTTACTTTGATCTCGTTAAACCAAGACTTGTGGGGTAACTTTCCTACTATACCATGGTAATGCCTTCCTTTAATTTTACATAATTCTGTCCATTCTTCTTCCCATTCTTCTCTATTATTTGCCTTTATTTTAGCTAATATTTCTCTGTAGTCTACCATCCTAAAGTTAATATTACTTTTAGTCAGGCTTTGTTTTGCTAAGCTATCTGCTTCATTGTTCCCTATAATATTTGTGTGACTCGGTATCCATCCCAATTTGATGTTTAAACCATTTGCTTTAGCTTCCATCAATGATTCTCTGACAATTATTTCTGGATACTCTGACTGTCCATTTAAACCCATTCGAGCTATTTTTTGTAGCGCACTTTTTGAATCAGATAGTATGAGTGTATTAGCACTGCCCATTTCTGTTGTTTTTTTGATTGCTACTAGTATAGCCAATACTTCTGCTGTACAGATACTAGCCTCGTCCGCTATTCTTACGCTGATTTTCGTTCCTTCATTTTCGCAATAAACCCCAAAACCTGTTCTTTCTGTTTGCTTGTCTTTGGAACCGTCTGTGAAAACTATATGATATTTGTTCCATTTTTCTTTGATTATTTCCTTAAATTCCTTTTGATTGTTTAAATTCTTTTTTTGAAGCCCCAAATCGACCCAGGATACCTCTGTGATTGTTGTCCAATTAACTGCTTTTTTAACTGTTTCAGTTTCTTCTTTCTGGCGACAGAATGATTTTTCAAAATTAGAATGTACAATTTTATGATGTCTCTCAATATTTCCTTTTTTAGCAACGGAGACCGAAGTATTACATAACAAACACACATTTTTATCTTTAACTTCTGTAAAAAAGTATTGTTCTTCCCATTCCGAATGAAAGTGGTATGTCTTTACCTTCTTACAACTGCTTGCCATAATATTATTTTTTGTTGTTCTCTACTAACCCAATCGCTGGACGTTGGTTACGCGTTCAGTTTTAAACTAAGCGCAATGTCGCCGCGCCGTGTGTATTTATCAAAGCAATCCTGATCGTTCGAACAATAACGCGCTGGTCCGGCTGGTCAGTTCTAGCCGATTCTAGCTTGATGGCGTCAGCGGCAGATCGCTCGCCGCAACGTTGCCGCTGTTTATGTTTAATAATATGACAATTAGATTTTTTTGTGGAATTTTCGGAAGCTTCTCCGATTTTTGCAGTTTGTATTTTTTAAATTAAATTCGAGCTACCAGAACTGCCTCCGCGAGCTACCGATAGCTCGCGATCGACAGGTTGGCGACTACTGGTTTAGACCTTTTGCGTCTTAAGTCATTTATTATTTACCAGGTGTCTCTTTGTTTATTGCTGCCCTCGTTTATTCTTTTTTTAAAGTAGGATTAACAGGTAAAACTAAATAAGAACTGATAGATTGAACATGACAGCAAGGATCGGCCCATCGAAGGTATATATTGCGACAATTTTTAATTTTTTGGTAACAATTAATCAATTTGAAGAACAAAATTAAATATGTAGCACATAAATGTTTTATTATTATTTTTTTTTATTTCATACCATTATTACATGTTTTAATAATTTTTTTTGCAAGTTTCTGTACAAAATAGATAGCTTACCACATGTATTCATGATTTTTCTCGTCCTTCCAATAGTAAGTATTTTCTTTACAATCAAATAGTCAGCTAAAAATCCATAAAACATTGTACAACTGGCCTCAGCAATGTATGGTAAAGAGCACAAAACGCTATTCTAAAATCATAAGAAAATATTTTTCATATTAATATTAATAATAATTCTATTGGTCCTTTTTTAGTTATATAATATAGAATAAAAGGAATACATTCAATATTAGCTTGATGATAACGTCGTTGATATTTATTAAATGATAATTTGTAGTCTTTTACTAATCTAGTTATTTATAACAGTAACTATCATTATTGTTATTTATAAAGTGAAAAAGACAATCAATAAACTCTTTTAGAACTGTATTTATGACGTCTTCAATTATTTGTACCATCTTCATATATTTCATCTAGATTATGTTGTCTATTTTGGTATACTTTCTTTTCCTGTACTCCAATAAATGTAATCTAGGGCACTTAAATCTGGAGGGTGACGTGGCCACCCAACTGATTCTCTTCGTCCTATCCAGTTACCTTGACAATATAGTACGGAGGCTTACCAAAGAAATTTTGAATACTTTTTCCAAAATATTGTCAAATTCTATAAACTTATATAAAACTCTTTTAATAGCGATGATGTTTAATGGTGAAACTACCAATCATAGACTTACAGATTTTAAATCGAATTTCATCACGTGATTCATGTAGATAGGAGTTTCAAATAGCAGCGTCCAGTTACCCCAACTGAAACCAATTTGAGATACAATTAGAGCCCAAAATGGTAATGATGTGAATATTTCAAACCAAGGAACTGGAATGTCCTGAAAAATTAAAAAAAAAATTAAAAATGTGTGGAAAAAAATTGTTGAACGTAGAATATACAGAAGAATAAGTCATTAGGATCTTAAAAACAAAAGAAACAAGCTGAATATTAACGATGGAATATTTGAGTGAAGTAAGTAAATATTTTTACCTTAGTATTTCCACTTCCATTTTCACATAAATTATTCTGAATGTAATATTTTTCTTCTTTGGTTATTGTAGAGTGTAAATCAGGTTCACTAGCACAAAAATATGAAAATAGAACAGCTACCACAAGTCCTACTCCTCCGTATAAGTACAACGCCATTGGCCATCCATACCAGCTGGATGCTATGACGCCAGTTAATAACATTGAAGTTATTACTCCAATTGCAGAACCTTTAAAAAAATATACATGTATATACATGAATAAATTCCTGAAAACCGAAGCAAAAATCAAAATAATCTTCTCTTTGTGTTGACTAAAACCCACGATCTAATAATACCATTTAATGATAACCATTAATAATTTTTTAACAAAAATATCCTTACCCATGTACGGCAAAGTCCCCAATCGACTTCTTTCTTGTAGCGGTACCCATTTGCCGAGAAACGCGTGGACAGATGGGAACATGAAAGACTGGGTGAGACCTTGAATGATTCGCATGGCTATTACACCTTTGGAACCCAAGTTTGCTGCTACCAAAGGTATGAAGAAGCCTGACAGTGAACTGCAGAAAAGGGTTCCTGCTAAAAACCATTTAGCTCCGAAGACAGTTGCTAAATATCCAGCTGCGATTTGAGGAACCATGTAACCCCACATGAAAGATGTCATAATGAGGCTTTTATCGGTCCAGTTGTAGGTCTATAAGAATAAAATAACAAAAAATAACTGTAATGAAATTATAGAGTAAGGTGGTGAAAGAGAAGTCATTTATTTCTCACAGAATGTTATATAATATCATATATTGTTTTCTGATTTTTTCTTTTATTAACGATTTCAATCTAGAGAGGCATCTTCTACTAACAAGTGTGATTTTGATAGTATTATATTTTGATGTCAAGTTCTCTTGTAGACAAGGTTTGTTTAAATTGACCTTCATTCTTTTGATGGAAGAAATGTTGCTGCCGGCTAATTAAATAACTAAATCTTATATTCCAAGAGACCTTTTACAGGTATGGGAAAAGTCAAAACATGGTGTACAAATTTATGAGGTAGAAAAGAAAATACAAATTGTTGCACTTACTCTGTGATAAATAAAGGACTTTTCGTCCACCACCCTACTTTATACCTACAATTTACATATGTCTACCATCATCTCTAACTTAAGAAACTGACTGGAACATAGGTTAAATTTATCATATCTGTAATGTTGTTTGATATATTGATATGTACAAATTTATTTGAAACACTTACTGGAATGTCTTTGTTTATGGACGCATTCGGATCTGTCATAGCTACTATAATAATTGACATGCTGACTCTCATGACATAGTTCATAAAAATGACCAAAAATACCAAAAGGGTCTGAATGTGCCTTTTTCCAATTGTTGGACCTACAATAAACAAAATGATGTTAAGAGATACCTATAGTAAAGTAGAGTGAAGATATATAATGCTTGGCAATGTATATTATACCCTTTAGTTTAACAAATCCCGTTAACACCCATTTTCGTTCAGTTTTATTTGCAAGAGACAAAAAATGTTACAAATAAATACAGCTCTGCATAAACCCAAATCATGTTTAGGGTGGTTTTAACCTTCCATCAATTCAGTTGGTGTAATTTTTACTTTGAACAATGGCTCTTTAAGCTTGATTTTGCTAAACATTTCAAGCTGAGATCATTTTTCGTTTTTGAGTTAGGAATATTATTAATATTTTGTTCAGATTTTTCATATTCAATCCGGCTTCGCCCCATAGAAATAGTATACAAAGCCAATTCCATATATCAAAAATGAAACCATAAGGAGAAAATAGTGTGTCAGAGTTCATACTCATGCTCATGCTCGAACAGGACCGGTGCAAGTTTTTTATTGATCGAACAAATAGTTCACACGATATTTCAGTTTGGAAGGTTCCATATATATTTAGTCAAGATCTGAAGATGGGATCCATGAGAAAATCATTAACATCTTCAGTTTTAAAGTAGGTTTTTTAAAATGCCTTGAAACCTGTATTTAAAAGTACGCCCCATGCCAACTCCGCCAGTGACGTCACAAATGTTAAGTAAAGGTACATGGTAAGAAGATTAAGATTCTTAGAAGGTTGCGAGTTTTGTAGCAATGAATTTGACATTTATTTAAGGAAAGCAGGTATAACTGATCAAAAAACAAATACCTATACTCCCGAAGAAAATGGTGTTGCCGAAAGATTCAACCGAACCATTGTAGAAAAGGCAAGATGCCTCTTGTTCGATTCTGAACTAGGTAAGAGATTTTGGGATGAGGCAGTTAATTACTACTATTTAATAAATATATGTATCGCCAGTGGCCTAAATAATAAAACTCCGTTTGAACTGTGGTACGATAAAAAACCTGACATATTAAGCTTGCGTATTTTTGATAGTACAATTATGGTACATGTTCCAAAAGAAAAACGTTTGAAATTTAACAAAAAATCTAATAAACATATTTTGGTAGGATATTCTGAAGAAATAAAAGGCTATCGAGTTTATAATCCTAAAACAGATGATGTCACAACTAGCAGAGATGTATGTATCCATGAGGATCTAAATACTAAGACTTTTGACATCATAGTTGCTGAAAACAAGGAAGAATTACCAATTTCAGTGGAGGAAGTTAACTTCAGATGTTAGCTTAATCCAAGAGGACAACTCAGATTTAACCACAAGTTCCAATGATGATACCTTAATAGCAGATAATCCAAGTGACAGTAACTACGTGCCAGTTAATACATCAGAAGAGTCTTTTAGTGATAGTGTAGTGCCTAGAAAGTCGAAAAGACAAAAAACGGTTAAAATATTTGATGAATATATGACTTATTTAAGTCCAGCTATTGAGAACTACCCAGATGAAGCTCCAGTAGGTGTCGCAGAGGCTTTATCACGACCTGATGGTAGCCTGTGGAGGCAGGCCATGGCAGACGAGTTGAAGAGTCTCCAGGACACTGAAACTTTGGAACTGGCAGACTTGCCAGAAGGTAGTGGTTTAGTGCAGTGTAAATGGGTATTCAAAGTGAAGGTTAACAGTGCTAACTATAAAACCTATTGGGCTAGGTTAGTAGCTAAGGGTTTTACTTAAATAAAAGGGATAGATTATAATAAAACCTTTTCGCCTGTTGTTAGGCACTCTACCCTACGGTTGTTAATAGCTTTAAGTGTAACATTAGATTTAGACATCTTCCATCTTGACGTAACCACAGCCTTTTTACATGGTCATTTAGAGGAGACCGTTTTTATGAGCCAACTTGAAGGTTTTGTTAATTCAGATGGGTCAAATAAATTAAAATTGAAAGGTACCATTTATGGCCTAAAACAATCCTCTCGTGTTTGGTACAAGAAGGTCGAAGATGTTTTAACTAATTTAGGGTGCAATAAATTCAAATTTAAGCCATGTGTCTTCATTAAGTTTATTGAGAGTCTAATGACAGTTATTGCCTTGTATGTTGATGATTTTTTCATTTTTTCAAATAATATTGTTGAATCAAATGTTTTAAAAAAGGAATTAGCGGTAAATTTCAAGTCAAGGCTAAGCAAATTTTAGGAATGAACATATGTATAGACAAGGCAAGGAATGTCACAACATTTGACCAAAGACTTTACCTAAATTTGGGATGTCTGACTGCAAAACTGTCGATACGCCAATCAATGGAGAGAAATTTAAATTTATCAAAAAGTGAAAGTTGCGATTCCTTGCCCTATCAACATTTAATAGATGGCCTAATGTACTTGGCAGTCATGACAAGGCCAGATATATCTTATAGTGTTAGTTTTCTTAGCCAGTTTAATAACTGTTTTGATAATACTCATTAAAAGAATTTTGAAATATCTACAGAAAACCAAAAACTTATGTTTAAAGTTTCAGAAAGACTTAAAAAGTCTAGAAGGTTTTGTAGAAGCTGATTGGGCCAGCAATTCTCTTGATAGGAAGTCATATACAGGTTTCTGTTTAACTTTTTCACATTCAACTGTATCTTGGGAAAGCAGTAAACAAAAAACAGTCGCCCTCTCAAGCACTGAAGCCGAATATATGGTCTCAGCAGAAGCAGCTAAGGAGACCATACATTTCTGAAACCTATTAAGAGAATTGATAGGTTCCTTTGATTGTATTTTAATTTATAGTGATAGTCAAAGTGCCCTAAAGCTTACGTCAAACCTCATGTTTCATAAAAGGACTAAACACATAGATGTTCGTCATCATTTCATTAGAGAAACTGTAACAAGTGGTTTGATCGATACAGAATACTTGCAGACAAATGAGATGCCTGCAGATATCCTGACAAAAGCCTTGGGAGCAAACAAACATTACAAGTTTTTGAAACACCTGAGTTTAGAAAGCTTGTAAGTTTCTTTTTTATTTATTTTTTTTTTTTTTGAGAAATATAATTTCAAACGGAAATAACAGAACTGTCAGATTATTTCAGATGGAAAGATTATAACCTGTTTACTATTTTTAACAATTTGAAATTGTTAGGTATGTCTAATATACTTGGCAACACTACATGGACAAGTCATGCATTCTGCGCATGCTTCTAGACCCATTATTTTGCGATGTCAGGCGCAGAGACGCGTTTTTATTCACAGTAGGTTTCAATTTCTGCTTAATGTTATATTTATATTGGTATTCTATATTATTTCTATGCTTCGCCCCCTTATAGAGCTTAATGTTTCCTAAAATTTTCAAGTTGATATCGTTTTTTGTTTTTGACGTATAGTGCGGACAAAAACGTGGCATCGGACGGAAGGATTTTGGTACAAAATTTGGACCAATATTAAAAATTTTGGTTTGTCGAAAATAAACCTATAATACTCTTCATAGACTAATGTGTAACGAGTATAATGATATGCCGTCTTTCAGAGGAGGCGTAAATTCTCAAATTTTCGATTCATATTTGGGTTCATTAAAAGTATCCATTCATTTTCACAAAATGTTATTAAAACAATTATAATATGTCCTATATAAGACGATTTTAAGTATATATTGTATAATTTTTTATTCCGTATAACACAAAATATTTGGTAAATAACAAATTAATGTTTGATAGTAACATTCCACTGTCTAGACTTTTCTAGGTAAAAAAAATGATATTAATAGATTATTGCTAGATTTTTGAACATTAGATAAACATTAAGGTAGATAATAAAAAAGTTACCAAAGTCGATTTAGTATGGAAACTTGTATCGAAATGGTAATTAAGAGGTTTCCGTTACGAAAATACAATTAAAAGTTGATATTTATTTTAGAAAATAACAAAAAAATTATAATAATGGCAATAGCAATATTAGGGGAGACTGGAGTATAATGATCCCTCGAATATAAACAAAACTAGTAGTACCATATGTTCAGTAATAGATGAAGTATAGTCGAGTGGAGACATCATCTAATCTGTCAGTGGAGCGACTCGGCTTGCGACACGCCTAAGTGATCCGAGATGGCGGCTCGCTACTTTCAAAAGTCACCATGAAATAGCGCCACGTGTTACCAGTCATAAGCCAAAAGTCTCAACTTTCATTGAATAGAATCAAACAGAAAAAGATGGGGAAGTGGGGGGAAATGTCTCAATTTTCAGTGAATAGAACACATACTTTGATTACTATACGGTGCAAGAGAGAGGTCCGACACGCCCAACATAGGGCGCGGCCATTTTGATTCCTATGCCACAGTTTATAGCTAAAGAATCAGATCGCTCACTCTGCGTCGGAACTTTTGATCTCAATGTTCCAGTTTATATACTGCGCAACTCGGATAATACAATATATGACAACCGCCTATAATAAAACAGCAGTCTTTTGCGTATCCTGAATTTGTATCCCTGGAGTGGATGTTATTTTGGAACTTTCAACTGGTCCGAGTGAGCTAACTGATTCTTTAGCAATAAACTGTGACTCCAAAAATAATATTCACTGACACTGACAGCAGCAAGCAAAATATCAGGTGCGTTTTAATCATCCGCTTCTGCTTCCGGAATTGTCGGTTTAGTCGTTTTAACCTGTCAGATTAAAACAAGAAAACCGACAATTCCGAAGCAGAAGCGGATGATTAAAACGCAACTATTAAAAATATTGCGCCAAGATGTAGAACACACGTAATAAGGGACCAAAATGGCGGAGTTTTCTATCTCCTTTTAAAAGCCACTCAGAAAGCTGCGCAGTGCGACCATTCTCCGTATGTGAAATAGAATCAAACAGTGAAAATGGGGCGGAGTGGGGGGGGGGGGACATACGAGAAGTTTTACTTATTTCATCGTTTTCTCGGTAAATTGCTTAAGAACTTCTCTCGTATGCCCTCCTAACCTAACATTCGTTCACGTGAACGCATGTCGCAACGACGCTTACATCACGTTCGTTTGTACTACTACGCATGCGCAAAAATCTTGGTGGTGAGGGTAACGAATTATCTGTTTAAGGTATTGAGACATTAAAGACTCTTCCAGTCTATTGAGACATTTTCTACGAGTCTAAAAATAAAAATAAAAATAAAAATAACAAAAAATGTCTTCACTTACAAAAACTGATTATTTGACTCTCTTGAATCTAAATGAAATTAACGCTTTATCGCCACAGGAAATGGCATAAACAAGATTACCAAGAATTGTCTTAAGAATAGTATCACTTAATATTAAATGAAAAGGACTTTAATTTACTTGCATGTGCTGCAAATATTAAATGGTATTCTATTTGTCAATGTCATCTAATAGCAGACGATGGTAGTACAGCACATGAACATCTTCACGCTTTATTACATTTTACTAATGGATTTACAATACAATACAATGTTAAAAAAATCATGATTCCTATACTTTCCTTATATCTGTATACAGATAGGAAAGTAAAAAATTTCAAGTAACCTAGTTGAAATCTTTTTGTGATTTTTTAATATTAATTTCTCAATAAATTCCACGGTAACCTATATATTTTATTGTAAAAAAACAAAGCCTAAATATTTCAAAAACCTTATTTTTAGTTATTTTCTACTCCATCTAATCAATAAATAATAGTATAATTCGAGAATTGTTGTTGAGGTCTTACTTTCTCGTAAGACACTGTACAAATACTCACATTTTTAAAAAAAATTCTCAAAAATTTGCACGGTAAGGTATAGTTAAAAGTTCACTATTAGATAAATAAGGACTTTTTAGACATAATCTAATATTTTTTATTTAACATTGGTGGCGAAAAGACCTCCTTAAAAAATTTGTTAATCTTTCTTTTAATGCCCATTTGAAACATTAGAAACTAAAGATATTGGCCGATAATTTGTTACATTCAGTCTATTTCCATTTTTAAATATTGGTGTTATTTTTGCAGATTTGAATTCCTTTGGACAAATACCTTTTGGAACATTAGATTTATACGGAACGTAAAAGGTTCACATACTTTAACAGAAACTTTTTTTAGAATCTCCGATGTTATATCATCTACACCAGGTGCTTTGTTATTTAGGGAGTTGCTGATTCTTATAATTTCTTTTGTCAGTTGGATCCAGGAAAATGCTTTCTCCTACGTATTTTCTAGGAGGGAGAGCAGTTGGAGATTTAGTTATTTTAGAAGCATATGTTTTCCCTACAAGTGAACAATAATTATTAAATTTATTTGCTATTTCTAACTCATTAGTTATAATGTTGTTTTTGTAACTAATTTTTTTAACACTTTTAATTTCTTCTACATTTGATGTCATTTTTTTATTGTTTTCCATATGTGATTTGCGGAACTACTATTTTTATCTATTTGTTCTTTGTAGTAATTGATTTTTGTATTTTTTATTAAATTGTTTAAATATATTCTATACATTAAAAATTCTTGTTTAATTTGTTGATCTTCCAAATTGTTTTTATAATTTTTGTCCATCATGTCCCTTTTATTAATTGATTTTATTAAATCTTCTGTTATCCACTCATTGCGTTTTTGTTCAGTTCTTTTTCGTTTAGAAGTACTAGTATTTTTATTTATACAAAATTTTTCATAAAATATGCCGTCGCCTGCTCGACATCAGTAATACATTAAAGCTCATTCCATTCTAATTTACTTACTTTTTTATATTAGTTTTTTAAATAAGTACCTTTCAAAAGTAACCTCCCCGTAGGATAAACAACGAGACGCCACTGACTAAGACATAGAAGCAATGCCATAAAAAAAATCTAAGTGTATCCCTGCACTATTAGCTCAGGTTTAGAATAAAAAAACATTTTATTTTAGATACCACAATACAATTATAGTTATTATATAAACATTTTTCAATGAGAGGTCGTCATATTGACGATTTTTTAATTTGTAAATTTTCGTTAGTGGGTTGTAGAAAAAATATACTGTACAACTCAAGTCGATTGTCCATATCCACTCTTGTTGCGCAAACTACTATTTTGATCTATCTTTTCAGGATTTGTATTAATAGACAAAACTAATATCTTTAGAATGAGTAACATAATTGAAAAGGGAGACACTTACCATGATTATCAACAATTTTTGAATTTTTCATTAAAATTTCGTATTGTTCATTGGTTAATTTTTGGTCTGCCACCATATTGAACACTGTAGTATTACTAATTGTCTATCAAAATCAAATTAATAATCAGTAAGTGGTGGCCACCAATTAATTAACTTTTTAATACGGTAGCAGGCTATTTGATAACACTAAATCTTTTTAACAATTACATTTACGTGTATATATATATGTAAAGGAAAATTTTATGTAAACCAAAATTACCCAAATGTTTATTTATGTCTATATAATTTGCTCCGATATAGGTATATATCTTGGGTAACTATTTATCAATTGTCTCAGGCATTGTCTAAATTAAAAATAAAACTAAAAATAAAACTATTAAATAACAATACTTGAACTTTTTAATAATGTTAATACTATAACAAATATAAAATATGTTTGAAGGTTAAACCAGTTGTTTTACTATTAAAAATAAGTTAAAAAATAATTTAAAAAAAAACCGATTTCAGATCTTGACCAAATTGATACGGGACAACCCCTGAGGTATCCCCTTTGTAACAAAAATAAAATCATTTAAATCAGATAACGTGTTAAAGAATTATTGCAGGACATATATAGAAGAAATATTTCGAACCTCCTCCTTTTTTGAAGTCGAATAATTGACAAAATAAATATTTTTGTTTGGATTATTTCAACTTCATTAATACTATAAATTAATAGATAAACCATTATATACACATAGTTTCTATATTTCAATGCTCCTTTTTAAAAAAAAGAAAATGAAAAAATAAAAAAAATAATAAAAAAGCAAAAGAAATAAAAAATAAATAAACAAAATAAAAAAAATAAAAAACAGAAAAGAACAAAACGTATTATATAAAAAATATGTAAATAGGTATAAGTTCAGTTCATAAAGAAAAATCAGTAATCAGTCAGTAACCAATTAATCAGTAAACAATCAGTAAAAGAAGGATTCTTTTTAAGATTAAAAAAAAAGAAAAAAAAAATATACTAAGACACACCAAAAATATAAAAAGTATATAAAGACAATATATTAAATATACTTACGTACTAACATGATTTTTTGATTGTGGACATATGTTACCAGCAGCCCAGGATCTTGAATTTTTTTAAGCGGGGAAAAAACTGAATGCCGCCCCCACCCGCCACTGATGGACATAATCCTCCCCCAAAGAAACCCACAACTACCCGTATACCGCTGCTCTTTCTCTGTTAAGTCAATATTTTTTCGAAAAATACCAGGATGCATATATTTTAATTAGGTTAGGACAGGATAGGGTCTGAATAAAACATGAGGTTAATATTATTATTATATTACACATTGAAATTATAATCGAGTCTTTTGTTCTGCAAACAAATCTATGGCCTTATCATAATTCATTTGCTGAGCAATAAACGTTCCTGGCTCATTGAAGATCGTAGATACTTTTTGATAAGTTTAGATTAGATTAGGAGTTTGACGTTATTTGTCCTTGTCCACCGCGACCTTTTCGATCTATTGTGGGACTCCATTTGTTTTAGAGTATGTCGTCTAGCCTGGTCTTTTTTTATTAGACTTAGTAGCTTTGGCAGTGGCTCCCGCATGTAGTTGCATGCAATTGGCTTTTCTTCGTCCAATGTTAGAAACCTCATTCCAGCCAAGCCTTCACATTGGCACAGGACGTGGAATGATGTTTCCTCTTCTTCTTCACAGAACCTGCACAAAGTTGCTTCTTCTGCTGGATTTATAACACTCATGTGCCTTTTGAGGCGACAGTGTCCAGTCAGAAGACCTACTGTTATCCTAACGATTTGACGTTTTTGATCCAGTAGGTCTTTCGTAAACTTGGCCGATGGTTCCTTGATGAACTGTTTGGCCTGTCTCAGTCTTGGATAGTTGTTCCACCATTCCTGAGACACTTTTTGCATCCATTGTTAAATGGATGCCTTGCACAATGCCTTAGCAACTCCACAGAAGGGTTCAGGGCCTGTCATGGCCTTATCTGAGCCTTCTCGGGCTAATTCGTCGGCCTTTTCGTTGCCCTGATATCCCTCATGGCCTGGAACCCAGGCTAAGGTCACCTTATTTTGACTACTTAGCTCTGTCAGGTCTTCTAGACAGTCTTTCACCAGTCGTGATTTGATTTCTGGTGGGAGAATTGCCTTTAGAGCTGCTTGGCTATCAGAGTATATGGCAATAGTTTTGCCTGATACTTGCTGATTTAATATTTCTCTTGCACAGTGTTGTATGGCTATTAGCTCAGCCTGGAACACTGTTGCATATTTTCCTAAGCTTAGTGAAATCGTTGATTTCGACTTAGGTCCATAGATTCCAGCACCGGCTCCTTCCTTGGTTTTTGAACCGTCTGTGTACCAGACGAGTTCAGCCTGTACGGGAGGTCCCTGTTTCCAGGATTCTCGGGCTGTTATTAGTATTTGAAATTTTCTTTCAAATTTGTATGTGGTTATGGCTCTATCAGTAGGCATAGCTAGAATATTATCCCTTTTTACTTGCTAATATAGCCTTGTGTGGTCGGCGCTATGTAGTTGGCTTATTGGGTTTTGTTCCTGCATTAGCCTGTGAATAGTTGACCTGGTTTCTCCTTGTATGAAGATGTGCAATGGCGTGAGATTTAGTAATACCTCCATTGCTGCGGTCGGCGTAGTGCGCAAGGCCCCAGTAGCACTTAGACAGGCAAGCCGCTGAATGCTAGTGAGTTGGCCTATTGCACTTGCCTGCGCAGTTTTGGTTACCCAAGGTTGATAAGTTTAAGTTTGCTAAAACTTCTCTCGCAGCTTGCGGATGTAGTAGGAAGCGTACAGTAAATTCTTAGAGCAATACAAATCTTGGTAAAGGCATCCTGCAAATCATGCGTATAAATCTGTTGCAAGAGATTGAAAGCGCTAGCATTTTTTATATCTCCAAATAAAAGTGGACCTTACTCTTTAAAAACGTAGAGCTCCTGGCAGAATTCAACCGCGTTTAAATCTCGCTCGTATTTTCGTCCCAGATCTGCTCCATGCTTTTGCAGCGTATTTTTAAAATATTTCTTTATAAATATGTAAAATAAATAATAGGTATCTTTTGAACTAATTCTGGATGATCATATACATTTCAAAATCTTTGTTTTTTTAACTACATTTTTGTCTCAAATTTTACTTTATTTATTTATTAATTTGCGAGTATATTTTACATTTAATATTATATGGTGTTCGAATGGAGATGGGGGGGCTAAAAAAGTATTGTGTTCCGGGCGCGAGTTAAGCTCGCTACGCCACTGTGTTACTCGACTTGTTATTTTTAGTAAAATTTATTTAAACAAGAATTATGATTTTGTGTCCTTAACGTGTCCGTTATGCCCCGACTTCCCCTAGTACAACTAGAGTGGATTGTCCATATCCACCCTAGTTGCGCAGATTACTATTCTACAACAACTACTCCAAATATTGAAGTAACAAATGTTACCCATTGTTTTAACCAAAATATCTTGACTTATTTCGCATGCAGATTATGTGAAAAGGTACAGGTAAACATACGCATTTAGTTCAATAGTTCTTAATTCTAACTTACACATAAATCAAGATAATTTCCGAAAATAGAATGGAAATTTTTTTACTTAAATGTAAAAAAAAGATCAAGAAACAATTATTTGTAGAAGAAATATAAAAAACTGTTCATTTTTAATAATAATGAAAAAACGAAAAATAAGGAAGATAAATTTGCGTAAGAAAATTATTTTTTTTTTTTTGGCTTGGATTTTTGTCATTCAGCCAGTCACTTAATGAATATAAATAATATAATACAAAATAAATGGTAAACAATAATGGCAACAAAAATAATAATCCATCGAAACAAAACCAATCTGTCGCAAAAAAATTATTTATAAATGTATGTATTTAACGGGATTACTGCCAATAAAAATACAGAATTCAAGACGGTAATAAACATTTCTCAAGATAAAACGAAGTTTTTATTTAAACAACTAAAAATATTTCTGTTCTTTACTTGTTTTTTCTCCCTCGTATATTCACGTGAATGCAATGTTTACTATCGACGTTGGTTTTGTTGTACATTCACGATAAATAAATTTAAATATGCAAAAGATAATTGATAGGTTATGTTTACATGCCATACTTACATTTTATTTTTTGTAACCCAAATCAACCAAAAAATTGTATCGCCCACTCCTCACATTAAAATCCTGGATTCCTCACCTCAATTAAAATATACAGAGTGTTTCTAAAATCATATGTCTTTACACGTGAAGTGATTCCTTGTCCAAAAATATGATAAAAAATGGCTATCACCATATGTTTACAGATGCTTTGTTTAAAAAAATACAGGGTTTAAAATTTATAATTTTTTACGGTTTTTTCGAAATATTTTCGAATTGGCTTTAACAATTTTAATGAAATTTTGGTTATTCAATATATTTTAAAAATGCATATATTCCAGAAATAAAAGGAAAAAGGGCGATAAATAATTTAAACAGAAAACAATATGTACGCCAGAACCTTTTTTACTTTTTGATAACACAATTAGTTAACTATTTAAATGACTAACGAAAAGTTCAGTTTATCACAATTACAGTCAAAGTAGGCAACACGCTGTCTAATCCATTCAAACTTCAAGCAGTTGTACCACAGGGCTCAGTCCTAGCCCCTCTCAAATACTATCTTCCTCCTCGTTCTCACATTTCGAATTATTTTATTTTTCATAATTTATTAAATAAATTTAATATGGAAAACCTACATTAGTCAATGCAAGTTTTCCACCTGCAGTTTAAAATTTGTAAGTAAAACGAAAATCTAAGCAATGCAACAAAAAAAATCGTTTTTTTTTTAAATCGATAAAAAATTACAAAAACTTTTCGTGCAGTTTATTTTCTATATGTACATTTTTAACAATTTTTTTACAAAAACATTTAAATCGTTTTCTGTATTATAAACTAAATAACCGCCCGATTTTTGGCTTTCTTCTCGTTCCAAGGTTGGACTTCTCCTGATCCAAATACGCAGTATACTATAGTTGCGAAGACATAAATCACTGCTGCACAATAGAAAATTATTCTCCATTGATTGGAATTTTGCTAAAAGAAATATTGTGTAGGTATTAATTCAACAACATGTAATTTCTTAGATATGTTAAAATTGTTATCTAAATTTTCTGAACAGAGAACGTGTCACTATCGAACAAGCATCATCTTAAAATTAAT